AGCATCTCAGTGCCCACATGGACGGGAAGATCTGGTTGTGCAGGTGCACCATCATCTGTACGGAGGAGATTTGGATCAACTGTTAATTCCCGGTTAACCCAGAGTGGAGACAAACCATCAGTGATCAAGAACGGAATCAGTGCGGGTCTATCTTCAGGCAAAGCACCATCTTCCGCAGAGCTTCTCAACAGAATACGCGGAAGCAGAGAACAAGCCATTGGTGTTGGCCTTGAGCAGCTACCGTCTTCTTCGGGTTCAAGCAGCAGAGTAGGTTCGTTGCAGCCCGAGGTCCTGATCCGAAAGATATGCAGCTTTGTACAGCAAAAAGGTGGAAGTGCGGACACGACCAGCATCGTCAACCATTTCAGGGACATAGTTTCTTTTAATGACAAGCCGTTGTTTAAGAATCTCTTGAGAGAGATTGCAACGCTTAAGAAGGATCAAAATAGATCGTTTTGGGTCCTCAAAACAGAGTATAAAGATTAAGAAAAGAGGTTTTTGCTGTATCTACTGTTCGAGTCTGAACTCTGAAGACGGAGAAGGCGACATTGGCTCCACACATAATTGCCAAGTATTCATTCTCTTTTTCTTTATAACCAAGCTCACGCACTTCTTAACTTTTTTAACCACCAAAGTCACTTAGACTTCAAAGTCTACCTTCTTTTTAACAATTATGAATCTTTATTGACCAACTCGAAAGGCAAACACCACTCAAGTCTACTAAAGTAACAATAAAACAAACTCTCAAGTGTAAAGACTAAAGATGGGTTTTCTTGTGTTTGAATGTTGGTGCAGGCAGGGTCGAGAGTTGTTGGGATCACGTTACTGAGTCACTTATGAAGAACTTGAATCAAAACGGCTAATGTAGATTACTCTATAGTACCAGTTTCCATTTCCAAGTCGTATCCAGACGAACCGGTTAAAGGTAGAGGTTTCATTAGCCACAATCTCTAAATTCTTTTTCTCTTTATGTGAACCGAATTAACACTCAGTCATCGGGATTTTTCAGCGAAACAGAGTCTCAGTCTCAGCTTCCTGATACTACTAGTTACATGCACTTTGGTTTCGCTCCGCAAAGACCAGCTAATTAGCAACCCTCATGACTCAAAAAGCAATTGTAGTATGAAGATTGATTCAACCTGCTCCTGAGTTATCAACTCTTTTAATGAGATTACTCAAACACAAGCAACAGAGGAAGTTATGATGAGAGCTAGAAAGTAACTCTTGTAATCTTCTATTTAAAAACTTCTAAAAAAAGTGTATATTTGTCAATATTAATGTTTGGACACAAAAAAAAAAGAGTCACAATATTGATGTTTTAGGTCAACTTTTTTTTTTTTGGTCGCAAGTGTGTTTTTTTATTCATACTGCAAGCCAAAGTAACAGGCAAAATATAAAATATACAGACCAAACTAAATAGACCAAGAAAACAAGGTAAAGGCCCAAAAGCCCAGTTTAATAGCTTTAGTCCGAAGAAAAAAACTGTTGTTGACAGCACAAAAGACACGTGGCAACTGGAAAACATGTTGGGTGACACGTGAGAAGTTAAAGGAGATGGAGTTTCCGTCACCGGCAGAATCTTCTAACGCCGGAGAGCTTCAATTCTGGTCGAAATCGCCAGAAACCTAGTGTAGTCGGTAGATCCCAATCTTCGCCCAAAGAAACTATGGCGAAATTTCAATTTGGCTTGATGAGAATGACTCCACTTAATTCAAATCGGTTAATCTTCTTCATCTTCTTCTTCAAAAAACAGCTTTTCAATCTTCAAGCTGCAGTTCATCAAACCGGTCCAAAAGCTAGCCTATAACCGCCGAAGAGATAAGCAGTGATACAACTAGAAACAAAGCCAGCCATCAGCGCTATATAAGTCGTTCGATGCCGGAGACCAGAGCCGAAACAAAGCCGGACGAAGATGCTAGTAAAGCCATCTACGCCGGAAGCAAAGCCAGCCTACACCACTAAGAAAGCTAGTGCAGCCAGACAAGAAACCCGCCTCAAGCGGAAAAGAATTGCCGGCAACATATGAATGGAAAAACTTCTTTCTCTCTGAAAGATGAAAGGGAGAGAGAAGAATCCTCCGCCGATTTTGTTTTAGGTCAACTTTGATACTATTAAAAATTTCACCTATGAATTAAATCGAATCACTGTAAACCTGAACCAATCGAGTTTGGTTTGATTAGTACAATTTGGTTCAATTTAGAACCGTACTAAATTCAATGGGTTGACTCACCATAACTTGTGCATGTCTGACCAAAATACCCTTGGCTAATTACAAAATATACAAGAAACCCTATCAGTCCCAATTCTCTGATCGTCTTCACAAAAACAACAACAATTTCGCCGGCGTCGTCTCCTCCTCCATCACCGTCGCTGCTGCTTTGATTCGCAGCAGTGAGTCCTCCTAAATTTCGGGTATCTTCTCTAAGTCTTTCGCTGTTTCCTTGATCTGAGTTTTAAAATTCCTCTCATTCGCATTCATTTTTATGATCGGTGAACAATTACACATAGATTTCCATTCAATTCAATTCCTCTTCTTATTTTTGCTTATAGGTTTTCTTCGTTGATCGGTGGACAATTTCACTTTTTTTCTAAGCCAATTTATCACCGAAAACTGTAGAAAAACTTAGCCTTTACACAAGATCTGTTCGTTAAAATGCCTAAAAGAAGCTGATAATTGTTATGGTTTGATCTCCAATTTGATTGTATTTTGTCTGAGCTTAATTGTGGTAAATTGTTATGTTTTGAAGGTGCACGAAAATGGATAACTTGGAAGACTTGAAGATTGTGACAGAGCAGTGGTGGAAACAAGGAATTGAATTTGTTCAACAAATACCACCGTCTCAGCTTTATACTGCTATTGGTGTTCTCTTATTAGCTACCATTTGGCTCTTATCTAGTAAGTAGTAGCGAACACCACATTCTTCTTCTCATTGATCTTTTCCTTTTTTGGTATGAGATTTATAGTTGCTAATGTTGACACTTTTGCTGATTTCTGCAGTTCGTTTGTTTAGACGTACAAAGTCCAATACTGTACTCCTCTCTGGGCTAAGTGGAAGTGGCAAAACAATGCTCTTCTATCAAGTGAGTATTTTTACGGTTTTACTCCTTTTGAAGAGCTGCTTAAAGAAACGAGTTGTTGAATGTTGTTGTGTCATATTATAAGATGGTTTCGTTTACGTTTTTATGTATTGTGACAGCTACGAGATGGATCTTCGCACCAAGGTGCTGTAACGTCAATGGAACCAAATGAAGGCACCTTTGTGCTTCACAATGAAAACACTATGGTAAAGAATGATCTTTGCTTCGGTTTTGTTTAAGAATGTTAAGTGTTTAAGGGACTTGATATATATTTGCCTCTGTGTTTGACAGAAAGGAAAAGTAAAGCCTGTTCATCTTGTTGATGTTCCTGGACACTCTCGGCTTAGATCTAAGCTAGAAGAATACTTGCCTCGGGCAGCCGCTGTTGTGTTTGTAGTAGATGCATTGGAGTTCCTCCCAAATATTCGTGTAGCTTCAGAGTAATTAATTACCACATAAAAGATGATTTTCTTGGGCATAAGTGATTCTTAGAGATAGACACTTAAACATGGTTTGTATTTTTCCAGGTACCTTTACGACATTCTGACAAATACTAGCGTTGTTAAGAATAAGATCCCGGTTCTGCTTTGCTGTAACAAGACAGATAAAGTAACTGCACACACCAAAGAGTTCATCCGCAAGCAGATGGAGAAAGAAATGTGAGATTGATTTCTATCTGTTTCTAAATCCTGAAAATAATAAGCTCTCATGATAATACTTTTGTTAATGTGTGTGTTTTGCAGAGAGAAACTTAGGGTTTCGAGGAGCGCAATATCAACAGCTGATATAGCGAATGACTTCACTCTCGGGATTGAAGGAGAAGTGTTTTCCTTTTCGCATTGCCAGAACAAAGTCACGGTCGCTGAGGCGTCTGGACTAACAGGAGAAACAGATCAGGTACAAGCGTTCATCAGAGAACACGTTAAGCCATGAGAAATGTGTAAGCATATCAGAGAATGAACTTAAATGTCTTTTCATTTTTTTGTACATGAAATTATAATTTGAGAATTTAGATGATATAAGTTGGAAGGATTTCTGGATGTCGAAAACTTGTTTAGTGCATCGACTGAATCTTTTAGCGTTTTGTCCAAGCAACCTCACTATAAATAAATTGTTAACACAGACAGTTTTTTATAAGATTGATCAAAAGGTAAGCGAATGAATTGAAGAATCTTGTCGCATTTTAGTTAGTTAGTAGATTTCTATGCAACTTTGTACTTTGCTTCGTCTTAAAGACAAGGATGAAGGAGAGATAGAAGTGATCGGATTGGGACTCGGCCTTAAGTTGAATTGGGAATGTCTCGTCGACATACTGTCAGGGGCTAAACCTGGAAAATCGTTGGACAGGAGCTATGCTCGTATGCAAGCCTTGGATGGACGCTTGTAACGATCAATTGCTTAGTTCGGTCTTCGATCTATAAACTTGGTTTGAGTCGTCTTGGATTTCAAATATTTGGTATAGTTGTGATTTCGAGCAGAAGGTGGACTCCTTTCTCCGGTGTGTTCTGTGGATCCAAGCCAAGGCGGTCTCACAGAGATACATGTTAGTAGGCATTGTTCGGATCTATCTTGTGTCGTATACGCTGCTGAGAGTTACGTCCAAAAGTTGGTCTTTCCTTGGAAGTATGAATTTCTTTCCAAGGGTTTCAAATCAACCCTTAAGAACAACTTGTTCCACGACACTGCATTGGGCTCTAGATAGAGCCACAGTATCTGCAAAGAAAGGGTGAAAAGGCAGAGCCAGACACGGTCCAAATCTCTCCTTGGCAAATTCAAAACACAGCAAGAAATAAGAATGATCTCCTCCTCGTGGAAAAACCTTGTCTCTAGCAAACTAGTTACCGTTACAATTGATAATCAAGTGTGGCCACAACCACCAGAGACGAGAAAAGAATCTACAAGACAAAGGAGCAACCAAAATCTACAAGACAAAGACGTGTTGGACGAGCCAAACAAGGTCACACATAACAGTAACACTGAAACACAATCCGATGGATCATATAATAAATAGAGAACAGGATGAACAAAGCAAGGAAAGCCAACAATTGTCAGGATACAAAGTAATAAAAAAAAACGACACAAAGATTAGGCTGTTTTGTGGTTGATTTGGACAGAGCTGGGAACATAAGAGCACCCAAGTGGCCAACAAGTTAGGTGCCTAGATTCGCCACGATCAACCTTTTTGAAGTATCCCTTCTTTCCAATGATGTAAGCTATGTTTCGAGTTGGGTCACATCCACCACCAATGTTTTTATCAAGAACCACAGCCACCTTCTTCTCCTCGTCAACGAAGAAACTCCCGCCCGTAAAAGAGAAGGAAATACCCATGAGAGGTTTCATATCAACCTTTAAGAACGACTTTTTCCACGACACTGCATTGGGCTCAATCTTGCTGCTAATCCAAATCTTCAAGGTATACGGAGAAGAACATCGCTGAAACAACACCGCAATCTGGTTATCCCCAACACTAGATAGAGCCACAGTATCTGCAAAGAAAGGGTGAAAAGGCAGAGGCAGACGCGGTCCAAATGTCTCGGTGGTGAAATCATAACAGAGTAAGAAATAAGAATGATCTCCTCCTCGTGGAAAAACCTTGTCTCGCGCAAACCAGTAAGTGTTACCATGGAGAGACAAGCCACGGTGAACAAATTCAATATCCCAGTCCGGATTGACATCAAGAACCTTCCATGAATCAGACTCAAAACTGTAGATTTCAAACTCACGAAGTAGGGGCCTCCTTTTACAGTCGTAGTGATCCACAAATCTCAAGACTTTGTGTTTCTTCATCACATCGTAACCCAGAGCATACCTGTCCCATGTGTTGAAAGAGTTTCTGGGTTTGATCCAAATTGTTTGCCCAGAACAAGGGTTCCAAACAACAAGCCTAGAAATATCTTTCATGGTGCATAACAAGAAACCATCGCAGTGAAAGATGTTAGATATGTCGACTTGATTAGCATCGTCTAGGCTAATAAGTTGACCTAAACGCTCTATGGGATTAGGATCGAGGAGATTGAGGCTGAATAAAGAAACCCTAAAATCGAGCATCATCACAACATGAAACTCCTTCCTCTGCTTCTTCTTTGCTTCTTCTTTACCGATGTGCCTCCTTGTAAAGGATCGATCTTTCGATAAAGTGTTCCACTTTTTGCATGTAGACCGCACTCCTCTCAGAGATGTCACCGGAAGCTTAGAGAGTACCTCCTCTGCCAAATCCCTAGGAATTTCGGAGAGCATCGTCGTTAATTGTTTTCGCGAATCGAAATTTACTTTACCTTTTCCTCTGATTTCTTCAGAGATATTTATCAGTGAGCACTTCAGAGTTCAGATGTTGTGTGTAGGCCTGGATTTTCGGTTAACCGTTCGGTTATCGGTTGGATCCATTCAATTTCGGTTCTTTCGATTTTAAATAAGTATCCATTCGGATATTTTGAAATTTCGGTTCGGTTTTGCTTCGGTTCCGGTTATTTCGGTTTTAAAATTTAGTATCCATTCGGTTATTTTGCTTAGGATATTTTCGGATATTTCGGTTATTTTTGAGTATTTTCGGATATTTTTGGATATATTTAGGTTATTTTCGAATATTTTTATTATTTTTATATATTTTTCAAGTGTTTTTAATTATTTGGTCTATAAATAACTAATTATTTTGAAAATATAATTGTATTTCGGGTATTTCGGGTACCCGAAATATTTCGGTTCGGTACCAATTCGTTACGGTTATTTCGGTTATAGAATTTAGTATCCATTCGGTTATTTTCAAATTTTTGGTTCGGTTCAATTCGGTTCGGTTTTTTTTCTTCGGTTTCGGTTCGGTTTATTTGGCCAGTTGTGTGTCCAATTTGGGCTTGGGCTTTAAAGTATTGCCCAAAGGCCTATTAAAGTCGGTTTTTTGGTTAACAAGGCCTATTCAAGTCTCGCCATAGTTATTTGATAAACAAGGATCAAATTTGCCCAATGGGCTTGGTTTTTTTTGGGCTTGAGCACTTCAGATGTTGTTTTTCTCTCTCTTTATTACTCCAGCGGCACCTTCAAGCTCAACCTTTTTAGCAGTATATTCATCATTTTCTGGTCGCTGGTGTCGCTGCTTTTTCTGGCGACGAATTTGAACGACATGGGGTTACTGTTCATTTTTTAAAAAAAATTAATGTTAAATTATATTCAAAAGAAAAAAAAAACACTGTTTACTACATTAAAATGCAACTTTTCATAAGAATAAGTAAAATATTGTCCCTAACCTTGATTTCTTCTTGTCTCAAACCACCTCAAAATGCCACCTTCATACTTCAGATCGCCTCCACTCGTAAGCGTGCTAAACCGGTTTCGTATGTTTTTGTCGATCATCTTGACAAGCTTTCCCGCCGAGGACGGTTCTATTCTCCATGTCTCCTGTTGTTCCTTTCCCGCCATATGGAATGAATCGTGTTTTGAAACACGTATTGTATGATGAAAGCTCTAGTATGGTCATGGTCTTTATCTGTCTTGAGCTTCAAAACCTCTTCCCAAGCTACCGAAATCTTGTCTAGAAACACTCCTTTCATGAGTTCCTCCCACACCTTTAAATTGTAGGGACACAAGAAGAACAAATGTTTCCTTGTCTCCACCGAATACTGACAAAAGACACAGTTTACATTTGAGCTTTCCTTCCATTTTTGCATTCTTTCTATTGAATTAAGACTTTAGATTAAGAACACAAAGTTTAAGAATAACTCTCTTTTATTTATGCCTTAGAAATTACTCAAACAAAAGCTCTCAATCTCATAGGGTTAACCACAACTTGGTACCTCTATTTATATAAAACACTTTGACCTATTCCTAACTCAAATAGGACTTGTTAGATAACTCCTAACAATGTTTTAGATAACTCCTAAAACTTTTAAGCTTTATCTTCTAATAACTCTAGCTTAGCTTTTAACCACATGTTTTAACTCAAGCTTAACTTCAACACTTTCTCCTAATGCCAATATGTCTTTTTGTTGCTAGCCATGTAATAAAATAGTACTTTGGGGTCATTGTTCATCGTCTCTTTCCAAGCTAGTTGGTCGATGGAGTTAAAACTTATCAAAAGTTCAGTGCTAATTGAAAAGAACAATGCCATAGACTCTTGAATAAAAAAAATAATCAAAAAGTAAGAAAGCGAAGAAAGAGAGTATCTTAGAGACTTTAAAAAATCTATGAGATATTCATTGGACATTTGTCTCTTATACATTGGTTCAATTTTATTTTTATAACTATAGTTTAATTATATAACTAAATTTAAATAAAATATTAATAATTTTTTTATTTGAGAGATTTTTTTGGTTTCTAAAGGATGTAGATGCTTTAAGTAGACTCTAAAATCCCAAATCCAATACTCCAATAAAAATGTTTAATATAAAGCCCATATCTTGTGGCCCAAACCAAAAGATAAAACTGCGACTCTGCTGGGATAGACCAGCACTTTATCCATTGGGACTAGGCCTCAGCATAAAACCCGAAATCCGAAAACCGATCCGAAACCAATCCGAAAAATCCGGAACCGAATCCGAACCGAATAGTCACAAAATCCGAACGGATAATGAATTCTCCTATCCGAATTATCCGAACCGAACCCGATCCGAACCGAAAACCGAAAGGATATCCGAAAACCGGAAATAAAAATTACATATCCAAAAATATTAGTTATATTTAGTTGTAATTTTATAGCAAATAACAAAAATATCCTAAATATCCTAGATTTCGGAAAAAATTTAGTTATATTTGGCTCTTCTTTTTCCCGTTTCTTTATTTTCTCACAACGGTTGTTCAATGCTTCTAGGGATGGTGTTACAGAATCTCAATCCAATCAGTGAACATCGAATTCTATAAAGATCATTGAGGTATATTTCAATATTCAAAGTTTAAAAAACTGCTTATTTCTTCGGTGGATAAGAAATGAAACCCAAAATTGCTAGTTTCTACTTATGCTTACTATCTACAGTAACATATATAAACCGATCACAGCAGAACTATTAATGATGCTTACCGATTTCAATTTTGTCACGAGTATCACTGAGTATAAACAAAAAACTATGGCTCCTTTGACAACTTCAAAGATTCTATGCAAGATCACACAAAAACAAGTGCTTATCCATGGAAACTGGTAAGTAAGGTCTTTAATGAACACTAAAATGCTTAACAACAGACAAAAACAGCTATTAAAAGTACTCAAAATAGCTTTGTCCTCCATCAAAAATCAAGATAATCAAGTCTGGGCATAACCACTAGGGAGATAAGAAAATCTACAAGATCAAAGGCACAACCAAAATGCTATGTTGCAACCAAAAGGCACAACCAAAATCTTCAAGACAAAGACGTGTTGGATTAGGCTGTTTTCTTGTTGATTTGCACAGAGCTGGGAACATAAGAGCACCCAAGTGGCCAACAAGTTAGGTTCCTAGATTCGCCAAGATCAACTTTCTTGAAGTAGCCCTCCTTTCCAATGATATAAGCTATGTTTCGAGTTGGATCAAATCCACCACCAATTTTTTTATCAAGAACCACAGCAACCTTCTTCTCCTCATCAACGAAGAAACTCCCACCCGAATAAGAGAATGAAACACCAGTGAGAGGTTTCATATCAACCTTTAAGAACAACTTGTTCCACGACACTGCATTGGGTTCAATCTTACTGCTAATCCAAATCTTCAATGTATACGGAGAAGAAGACCGCTGACACAACACCGCAATCTGGTTATCCCCAACACTAGATAGAGCCACAGTATCACCAAAGAAAGGCTGAAAAGGCATAGCCAGACGCGGTCCAAATCTCTCCGTTGTGAAATCAAAACACAGCAAGAAATAAGAATGACCTCCTCCCCATATAGAAACCTTGTCTCTAGCAAACCAATAACTGTTCCCATCAACAGACAAACCACGGTGAACAAAATCTACCTCCCAATCCGGATTCACATCAAGAACCTTCCATGAATCAGACTCAAAACTATAGATTTCAAACTCACGAAGTAAGGGTTCAGTTCTATAGTTACAGTGATCCACAAATCTCAAAACTTTATGATTCTTCATCACATCGTAACCCAAAGCGTACCTATCCAATTTGTTGAAAGATTTTCTGGGTTTGATCCAAATTGTTTGCCCAACACAAGGGTTCCAAACAACAAGCCTAGACATGTCTTTGGTGGTGCACAGCAAGAAACCATCGCAGTGAAAGATGTTAGAAATGTCGACTTGATCAGCATCATCTAGGCTAATAAGTTGACCTAAACGCTCTACGCAATTAGGTTTGAGAAGATTGAGACTGAATAAAGAAACCCTAAAATCGAGCATCATCACAACGTGAAACTCCTTCTTCTGCCTCTTCTTTGCTTCTTCTTTATCGATGTGCTTCCTTGTAAAAGACCGGTCTTTGGATAAAGTGTTCCATTTCTTGCAAGTGAATCGCACTCTTCTCAGAGATGTCACCGGAAACTTAGAGAGCACTTCCTCTGCCAAATCCTTTGGAAGATCGGAGAGCATCGTCGTTGTTGGATTCACGAATCGGAAATTTACTTTACCTTTTCCCTCTGATTTCATATCAGCACAATATAATGTTTTCAGTTTGGGCTTGGGCTTGGTTTTGGGCTTTAACCTACTAAAGTCTCGCCGAAGATCGAATTTTGTAATCAAACGGACAATTATAGACAATTACGATTTTACCCTTACATTATGGAAATTAGTTGCCAAGCCTAAAGAATTTAGTGGAGGTTTATAAGGGTGATTTGGTAATTCTGTAGTTTATAAGGGCTTAGCTGAATTTTATTTCAGGACACGTGGTAAGTTATTGTTGGTTTAAAACTTTTTTTTTTTTCTCTGTTGGTTTAAAACTCTGAGGACGATTCTTAGCCAAAGAAGTAGTAGACTCTGGTGCAGACAGGTATATGATTAAATTAGTAAACATCCAATCATATCTCGTCAGAGGTAATATTTATACTTTTCTTTTTACTCCAATTTTTTATTTTTCTGTTTTCTTTTCCCTTTGCATCAACGATTACCATTCACTAGCAATAATTTGGTGACGTCTAATACTTAAAAAATTGATATCTTACGTGGGTATATAAGTTAGGGAATCATTTTTTTTGGTATATAATCATTTCCAATTTTTTGGGTGGTTGGTTTTACTTTTATGTAATAGTATTCAAAAAAGTGGTCGGTTATGAACTTATTATTATGATAGAGCTTGAAAACAAACAACACGAGATTGAGAAATTAGTCATTCAGCAAAAGAAAAGGACAAAAGCAGTGACTAAACATGAAACTGGGCAACGGCTCAAAATCATTTATGTATTGGACCCTTAAAACTTTCCATGCACACGAATATTCACATTTATATGTTTTTTTTTGCTTTGCTTTTTTCCTCTTTATCATTATTTTAATATATTTTATGTTCTTTTCCAAAGCACCATAATTGTATGTTAAAAATGGGTTTTGCTATCACCGAATAATCACTATTGACTTTTTAATTTTGTCGTCTTTGACACCTCTTTTCAATAACAAACAAATTACTAGCTACCATAATATATTATAGCAAAATGTATTAGAATTAGTGTTCAGTGAGTAACTAAATCCCTCAAATCATTTCTTATTCGTAAACCGTTTATTTTTTTTTGTGTTTTCTTTTCCTATCGTTCTAGGTATTGTTGTTATATTTAACACAATAAAAAAATATCGATAGAAATTTGCATTTATAATTAAAGATGAGTAGATGACCCAAGACAAATATGATAGTTCAAACTATTTGTTTTCCAAGTTTTCAAAAAAATAATATATATATATGTATATATATTTATATATATGTGTATAAAATGTATGATAATTTAAAATTTCTAATGATTCTTTATATGAACATGGATTTTTTTTTTTTTTTGAATGAATGTTAAATTTATTTATAAAAAAACCAATGTTACATCAAGTGCATCTTTTTTAAGTTTTTGACATTGAAACAATTTAAATCTTAAAGGAAAGCCAAAATGTGAAGAGTTCTTCATACTTTGGGTTTCCGGTTTTTCGAAGAAGAGTGATCCGGTTGCGAATGTTCTTATCGATGGTTTTCCCAATGATCGATGCTGTGATAGGGTCTTCTCCATGCCGTCGATTGTTCCTCTCTCTCCATAACGTGTGGACTGTGATTTGAAATGCATACTGCAGAAGCAAACGTGCCTCTCTTTTTAGCGAGTCACTTGAGATGAGCAACGTGAGTTGATCCCACTTCAATGTGTATATGTTTTGAAGTAATCCCTTTGCTAATATTTCCCTAACCTGTCTTGAGTAGCTGCACTGGAAGAAGAGGTGGTTTCTTGTTTCTACCGATTCATCGTAGAGTTTACATGAAATGTCTACTTGTGCATTCCACTTCCCCGTACGAGCCCCCGTAGTTAGTCTGTCTTGCATTGCAAGCCACGTGATGAAGGCATATTTTGGTGTAGCTTCGGAGAACCAGATCCCCTTAGCCCAACTGCAGATAGGTTGCTCTACTTTCAAGAGTTTCCAAGTCTCATTTGAAGAGAATTTCCTTTTAAAACCTGTTTTCCCTCCATAGTTCACATCTTCCTCCTCTATTTCTCTCCCTAGTCTTATTTTTTCGATTTCAGCTTCAACCTTATTTTAATTTTCCACACGGCGCCGTCTTCCTTTGTGAGTACTCAGGGCTTCCTCTACCGTGGCTGCCTTTGTTATTCCAAGATCTATACAACCCCGATCACCAAAGATGTCAAATAACTTCCCCATAGAGGACCATGTATCATACGAGCGTGGTTCTTAAGTGACATAACTAATCTGATATCTACTTAAAATTATATGAAATTATTAGAACCAATAAATAGTAAATTTATATGTAAATGTATACAAAAACACGATTTCATTAAGTTATTGGGAAAAGAAAAAATCGTGAACCAACAAACTTATATGAAAAAAGTACTACGAATTCTTGTGTTTTAGTTAAGCAATCCGTCCATACGCTTTTAAAATAAAAAATGTTACGAAAACTTTAAAAAAAAAAAAAAATCTTAAAAGTATCGAGTTCCGCTTTAAAAATAGGCCATTCTGAAATATTGTCAATCATCGAGATGAAGTCTCCACAATATGAGATGAAGCTTATTCTAGTCATCCTCATTTGAATCAAACATTCCATGGTCCAATAGAAGTATGTCGAATTCTGCATGCATGGATCGGAGCGGCGTGTGACTACTTGGAACTCTTTTTAGGCCGATATGTGATTATATCTATCTAGTATAATAAATTAATGACAAGTATACGTACGATCAGTGTTTAAACCATTTCAATATTTTATATAGAGAGGACACCAACTGGTTGGCTTCACTTGACCCACGATAAGATATTGAAAACCAAACAAACTTGTATCGTACGAATTCGAAATCGGAAATTGATGCGACAAGTCCAGGGCCTCCCACGCGCAATGGGCCCAGCAACCACGTGCGCCACTAGAGAGAATAAAGCATTAGCCCACGTGATCTTGGGCCAAATCAATCCCTTTCCGGCTCTCCCTACAAAAAAAAAAAAAATCGCAGGAAAAACAAAAACACACACTCTCTGATTTTTTTAAGTTCTCTCTCTCTCTCAGAGACACACCATTTAGCTTCTTCAAGTTATTGGTTTCTCCACTTATCTCCGATCCCAATTTTCTTCTTCCTAAACCCAAATTTTCTCGAGAAAATTCAAATCTCTTGAGAATTTAGGTCTACCAGTATCTCTCTCTCAAAATTCGTCTCCGATAACTACTTTTGGTCGGTGATGTTCCACTCTAAATCCCTCCTTATCTCGAGGTAATTCGGCCTAATTCCCATGGTTTCCGGTGTCGGCGGTAGTGGTCGTGGCGGAGAAGCAGAACCGTCGTCAAGTCACACTACTAATAACCGAAGAGGAGGAGAACAAGCTCAATCGTCGGGAACAAAATCTCTCAGACCACGAGAATCAATGAGCAAAGCAATTCAACAGTACACCGTCGACGCAAGACTCCACGCCGTTTTCGAACAATCCGGCGAATCAGGGAAATCATTCGACTACTCACAATCACTCAAAACGACGACGTACGGTTCCTCTGTACCTGAGCAACAGATCACAGCTTATCTCTCTCGAATCCAGCGAGGTGGTTACATTCAGCCTTTCGGATGTATGATCGCCGTCGATGAATCAAGTTTCCGAATCATCGGTTACAGTGAAAACGCCAGAGAAATGTTAGGGCTTATGCCTCAATCTGTTCCTACTCTTGAGAAACCTGAGATTCTAGCTATGGGAACTGATGTGAGATCTTTGTTCACTTCTTCGAGCTCGATTTTACTCGAGCGTGCTTTCGTTGCTCGAGAGATTACCTTGTTGAATCCTGTTTGGATCCATTCCAAGAATACTGGTAAACCGTTTTACGCCATTCTTCATAGGATTGATGTTGGTGTTGTTATTGATCTAGAGCCAGCTAGAACTGAAGATCCTGCGCTTTCTATTGCTGGTGCGGTTCAATCGCAGAAACTCGCGGTTCGTGCCATTTCGCAGTTACAGTCTCTTCCCGGTGGTGATATTAAGCTTTTGTGTGATACTGTTGTGGAAAGTGTGAGGGACTTGACTGGGTATGATCGTGTTATGGTTTATAAGTTTCATGAAGATGAGCATGGAGAAGTTGTAGCTGAGAGTAAGCGAGATGATTTAGAGCCTTATATTGGACTGCATTATCCTGCTACTGATATTCCTCAAGCGTCACGGTTCTTGTTTAAGCAGAATCGTGTCCGAATGATAGTAGATTGCAATGCAAAACCCGTTCTTGTGGTCCAGGACGATAGGCTAACTCAATCTATGTGCTTGGTTGGTTCTACTCTTAGGGCTCCTCATGGTTGTCACTCTCAGTATATGGCTAACATGGGATCTATTGCTTCTTTAGCTATGGCGGTTATAATAAATGGAAATGAAGAAGATGGGAGCAATGTAGCTAGTGGGAGAAGCTCGATGAGGCTTTGGGGTTTGGTCGTTTGCCATCACACTTCTTCTCGCTGCATACCGTTTCCGCTAAGGTATGCTTGTGAGTTTTTGATGCAGGCTTTTGGTTTACAGTTAAACATGGAATTGCAGTTAGCTTTGCAAATGTCAGAGAAACGCGTTTTGAGAACGCAGACGCTGTTATGCGATATGCTTCTGCGTGACTCGCCTGCTGGAATTGTTACACAGAGTCCTAGTATCATGGACTTAGTTAAATGTGACGGTGCAGCATTTCTTTACCACGGGAAGTATTACCCGTTGGGTGTTGCTCCTAGTGAAGTTCAGATAAAAGATGTTGTGGAGTGGTTGCTTGCGAATCACGCGGATTCAACTGGATTAAGCACTGATAGCTTAGGCGATGCGGGGTATCCCGATGCAGCTGCGTTAGGGGATGCTGTGTGCGGTATGGCAGTTGCATATATCACAAAAAGAGACTTTCTTTTTTGGTTTCGATCTCACACTGCGAAAGAAATCAAATGGGGAGGCGCTAAGCATCATCCCGAGGATAAAGATGATGGGCAACGAATGCATCCTCGTTTGTCCTTTCAGGCTTTTCTTGAAGTCGTTAAGAGCAGGAGTCAGCCGTGGGAAACTGCGGAAATGGATGCGATACACTCGCTCCAGCTTATTCTGAGAGACTCTTTTAAAGAATCTGAGGCGGCTATGAACTCTAAAGCTGTGGATGGTGCGGTTCAGCCATGTAGGGATATGGCGGGAGAGCAGGGGATTGATGAGTTAGGTGCAGTTGCAAGAGAGATGGTTAGGCTCATTGAGACCGCAACTGTTCCTATATTCGCTGTGGATGCCGGAGGCTGCATCAATGGATGGAACGCTAAGATTGCAGAGTTGACAGGTCTCTCAGTTGAAGAAGCTATGGGAAAGTCTCTGGTTTCTGATCTGATATACAAAGAGAATGAAGAAACTGTCAATAAGCTTCTTTCTCGTGCTTTGAGAGGTATATTCAGTTCTCCAGCTATGTTGTATCTGCGGTGTATATACCAATTCGCGGGTATTTGATTTTTTTGTTGCATTTGGCAATCAATGCAGGGGACGAGGAAAAGAATGTGGAGGTTAAGCTGAAAACTTTCAGCCCCGAACTTCAAGGGAAAGCGGTTTTTGTGGTTGTGAATGCTTGTTTCAGCAAGGACTACTTGAACAACATTGTCGGCGTCTGCTTTGTTGGACAGGACGTTACTGGTCAGAAAATAGTAATGGATAAGTTCATCAACATACAAGGAGATTACAAGGCTATTGTCCATAGCCCAAACCCGCTAATCCCGCCAATTTTTGCTGCTGATGAGAACACGTGCTGCCTGGAATGGAACATGGCGATGGAAAAGCTTACGGGTTGGTCTCGTAGTGAAGTGATTGGGAAAATGCTTGTCGGGGAAGTGTTTGGTAGCTGTTGCATGCTAAAGGGTCCTGATGCTTTAACCAAGTTCATGATTGTATTGCATAATGCGATTGGTGGCCAAGAGACGGATAAGTTCCCTTTTCCATTCTTTGACCGCAATGGGAAGTTTGTTCAGGCTCTATTGACTGCAAACAAGCGGGTCAGCCTCGACGGCAAGGTTATTGGGGCATTCTGTTTCTTGCAGATCCCGAGTCCTGAGCTGCAGCAAGCTTTAGCAGTCCAACGGAGGCAGGACACAGAGTGTTTCACGAAGGCAAAAGAGTTAGCTTATATTTGTCAGGTGATAAAAAATCCTTTGAGCGGTATGCGTTTCGCAAACTCACTGTTGGAGGCCACAGACTTGAACGAGGACCAGAAGCAGTTACTTGAAACAAGTGTTTCTTGCGAGAAACAGATCTCAAGGATTGTCGGTGACATGGATCTTGAAAGCATTGAAGACGGGTGAGTTTAGTTGGAATTATCTAGAAACTAGTTTTGTTTACTTCATGAAATGTGACCAAATCCCAAATTTTGTTTTTGCATTAATCAGTTCGTTTGAGCTAAAGATGGCGGAGTTTTTCCTCGGAAGTGTCATAAACGCGATTGTAAGCCAAGCGATGTTCTTATTAAGGGACAGAGGTCTTCAGCTGATCCGTGACATTCCCGAAGAGATCAAATCAATAGTTGTTTTTGGAGACCAGATAAGGATTCAACAGCTCCTGGCTGAGTTTCTGCTGAGTATAATCCGGTATGCTCCATCTCAAGAGTGGGTGGAGATCCATTTAAGCCAAGTTTCAAAACAAGCGGCTGATGGATTCACCGCTATCCGCACAGAATTCAGGTACATTTCATTGTTCCCGCTGTTGTCTCCTCATATCCGTAACTATAATTGTGCTATCCGGTTTTTTGGTACATGAAGAATACGAATTTGGTTTGGTTGACTACGAATTTGCGTTTTAAAGAAAAGAGGTTTTAATCAATTTCGTTTTATTATTTATTTGGATATAGACCGGTTTGGATTTTCGATTCGGTTAAGTCGACTCAGGAACTTCTAGTCAGAACCATAGGCCTAGAATTAGCATACACAGAATGTAGTTTTTTCAAATTTGATGAAAACCAGCTCAAAAGTGTAAAACATGGGTTTCGTTCATGTTTTGGTTTCTTTGTTATGTCTTTATTTGTTGTTTGTAGAATGGCGTGTCCAGGTGAAGGTCTGCCTCCAGAGCTAGTCCGAGACATGTTCCATAGTAGCAGGTGGACAAGCCCTGAAGGATTAGGTCTAAGCGTATGTCGAAAGATTCTAAAGCTCATGAACGGTGAGGTTCAATACATCCGAGAATCAGAACGGTCTTATTTCTTCATCATTCTCGAACTCCCAGTACCTCGAAAACGCCCATTGTCAACCGCTAGTGGCAGCAGTGACATGATGTTGATGATGCCATATTAGTCAACATTTTCAGTTGGTATGTGAGTTTGTATCATTGTACGTGTGTTTGTGTGTCTAACGACGTCTGAGGAGGATAGAAAGTTTTTTAGTTTCCGGTGAGATTAGTAGAGAAGAGGGAGATTGTTTGCGTTCAGCTCAGGTCGCCGGGAAAAAAACGTAACAGTAGTTGTAGAGAATTTCAAGACTTCTTTTGTTTGTGCTGTGTAAATTGATAACTCTGAGAGACACAAAAGAATGAGAAAAGAAGAGAGAGCATATTGATTGTTGACCAATCCTTTTAATTTATTGGTACTCGTTACTTCAATTCAAAACAAATTTGTTCGGATAAATAAACGTTATAATATGTGAATTAAAGTTTAACAGAAGATTAAATTCCCAAAAAAAATCTTACATACATAAATGTTGCTGCTTTTTCGTAAGGGTTGCCAAATCTTAAGTAGTTTTCTTTTGGTAAACAAAATCTAAAGTTGTTGGGAAGCTCTAAATGACTAAATGTAAAACAAACGGTTTTCTTAAATTAATCACATCCTAATAGTTTCTTCGAACTTTTTTTTTGTAGGTTCTTATCATAGGAGATAAGAAGATCCAAATCTTTATCAAGAAGGTAATGTATCTCTAAGAGCCTTCCAAGGGGCCAATATGTTATTGGATAAACAAAAAATAGTTAAAAAAGAGTTATTTCTTTGAAACCTTTTTTTGTTTTGGCATAGAATCACTACCTTACGAAAAGTTATTCGTTTGGGGTTTTATTATTTGATTGTAAACAATTTATAAATCATATATTTGGTTGGTAGATCCAATTAGTCTGTCTACGCAATCAAGAGGTAAGGTCAATCACATTTACATAAAATTACCCTTTTAAAATAATATATGATGAAATGGTACCGTCCAAAAAGTCGAAATTTTACAAATTCCACGATATAGATAAAGATGTTTATTTTGGGCTGGCTAAGATTAGGATGGTACACATTAACAATAGTTGATGTTTATGATGTATCGCACTATAGCTTTGGTGTAGTATATGCTCTCCAGGCTGTTTCGTTTCTCACATTACCCACACTAAATACTAACTCACCAACAATAAACTTAAAGAAAATTAAAGTAAACTTAAAGACTGAAATTAACAATAATCAATCATTAAGGAATCAAAACTCCATTATATATGCCTTATAAATACTCACCAACCAATCGCCGTCTGAATATCTCAAACTCAAATCAACCCCTTAAACCCACCTAAAACCTTCAAGTAGAGATACTTCCCAAAAGTGACTTGAAATGGTTTCTCATACACTTTTGGTTATGTCAATATCTCTCTTTCTTTGTTTAAACATATTGCTTGTTGTACACGCTAAAGATTTAAACCAAGACATTGACATAACCTGGGGTGATGGTAGAGGAAATATTTTGAGCAATGGTACTCTTCTAAATCTCGTTCTTGATCAATCTTCGGGATCAGGGTTTCAATCGAAAGCCGAGTATTTGTACGGAAAATTCGATATGCAGATCAAACTTGTCCCGGGAAATTCAGCCGGGACCGTGACCACCTTCTATGTAAGCTCTTCTTAATTAGCTAGACATGCATACATATAAATCTATATATTACCTTATGTTACATTGAATGATAGCTTTTTGGGGGTTTTTATTTTGGTGTATAGTTGAAGTCTCAAGGATTAACATGGGACGAGATAGATTTCGAGTTTTTGGGGAATGTTAGTGGAGATCCATACATTGTTCACACTAATGTTTACACTCAAGGCAAAGGTGATAGAGAGCAACAATTCTACCTTTGGTTCGATCCAACAGCTGAGTTCCACAACTACTCCATTCTATGGAATCCGAGTCACATAGTGTAAGCATATATACCACAATCCAATTAATGATAAGTTCACTAAAGTGTTGTGAACTATAACTACAATTTTTTTAGAAAGCCAAGTGAACCGGATTGGTTTTTGGATCAATTTGCCGAATCATATTGTTGGATCGTAAATCACTAGATCCATGACTCTTATACTGAAAATACTAGTAAGATAAATATATGTATTGAAATATACTTCTTTTGCTAGCTTTATGGATTTTCTTAAATCAATCTTAGTTATATTATGAACGATATAATTAATAAAATATAGAGAGGGGTGACAGAAACTAATCACAGCATATTAATATCTCATTGAACAATTACTTGGTTCATATATTTAATTTCTTAATAGGTTCTATATTGATGGGAAGCCAATTAGAGAATTCAAGAATTTGGAAGCATTGGGTGTGGCTTATCCAAAAAACCAACCCATGAGAATGTATGGTAGTCTATGGAACGCAGACGATTGGGCCACGAGGGGAGGGCTGGTTAAGACAAACTGGTCACAGGGACCATTCGTAGCCTCTTTCATGAACTACAACTCCGAGAATGCTTGTGTTTGGTCCATCGTTAATGGAACCACAACTATTTCTCCTTGTAGCCCCGGTGGCTCGTCTTCTTCTTCGAGCAGTAGTAGCGAGTGGTTTTCACAGAGAGGGATGGATTCTTCAAGTAAGAAAGTTCTTAGATGGGTTCAGAAGAAGTTTATGGTTTACAATTATTGTAAGGACAAGAAGCGATTCTCTAAGGGTTTGCCTGTTGAATGCACTGCTAAGAACAAGGACACAAACTCTTGAGTTTTTTCTTTTCTGATTTTTTCTTAAGCATGTAATGAGTTTTAGGGTTTTGGTTTCTGTTAAGATCATTTGTTGTGATTTGTTCATTGTGTGGTTATATGTTTAATGAGAAAAAATTTGTGGCAAAAGAGGTGAAAAATTTGTTGACAAACTTTCTTTCTACAATCCAAAAAATGAAGAAATTTATTTATCGTATACAACTTTTTTGTAAAGAAAACGTTCCCTATATTAATGTCTACCAATTTCCCCAACTTCCCTTTTACGTAACCGTCTATGTCTGTGTGTAGCAAGCCGGTGATACCTAAGGTTAAGAACCATTTTTTTAACGTCATCACTATGCTTTTATTGGATCGTGACTAATCATCAATCTCCCGAAATCTTCATGTGGACTTTTTTCGACTTGCCATTCTCTCGCTTGTGGCAAGCTACTCCCAAGTTCTTGTCTCCGATGTATGGATCTTCCGTCGAATTACCGTATTTATTTTCTCTACCATTCACTTGTTAGAATGCTAGTTGCTATCTTTGATGTTCCCAACCATGTGTTGGATGTTTGTTTCAACCTTGTACTTGCTATCATCTAATGAAATCAAGTATGTTTTGTCAAAAAAAAAAAAAAACTGTAATCGATAAAAAAAAATTCATATTAAATTTGTTTAAAAAAGGGAGAGTAGCCAATAATTTAATGACTGAATAATACATGATTTTGATAAGAGTTTTAAAATTAATGATTCAATAAGACATTATTTTGTTTAAATTTTTTAATCTATTAAAATTTATGAACTAATAAATATTCCTAAATATTTTGACATATGTCGAAATCCAGTCGGCAAATTGATATACATAAATAGAAATAAAACTGAAAAATATTTTAGGTATACACATGTCTATGAAATTAACACATAAAGGGAATAAAGGTTTGTAAAAGTGTTATGTATGATTGTGAGAATTTCTCTTGCATGCAATGAAAAAGAGCTTTCGTGAATATATAATCATAATTATTATTGTTTAGTACTAAAAAGTAAGATTTTCTTAAATCTATTAAAATCTATGAACCAATAAATTTCTCTAAAGTTTATTGACATGTCAAAATTCTAGCATATAAACCTATAAATCTCTCTAAAGTTTTTTAGACCCTAAAAAAAAAAAGTCAGATTATTGGGGATTTCAAGATGCACAACTCTAGCAATTGCATAGAAATATATTCTGATTTTACCGTTTTTGTGTCGTTTGATTTATATTCTTGTGCAGTTCCTCTGACGAATCTTTTTTTATTTTTTCTATTTCTTTGTTACGTAGGTGGTTTTTGTGTTTTCCACCTTTGGCAACTCTTGTCTTCGGTTTGTAATGGTATCATTAAGAAAAAAGTTGGTATTAAACCATCCGTTCTCCGTTCAATACCTGTCGTAGACTTCAATCCTCCGGCCTTCAGATACGGCGTCGAATGTGTTTTTTGTCTCTCTGAATTCGTCGACAGAGACAAAATTAGGATTTTGCCGAACTGTAATCATTGTTTCCACGTCGTTTGCATCGACCGTTGGTTCCAATTGTACTCTACTTGTCCGATCTATAGTAAGAGAGTAGGAATGAGACATAACTTGGCAGCGACGACAACGAGGGTTTGGCTCAAAATCACGACGGTTGTTACTCATTATACTAATCTCGGCAAGCTCTAAAATTATAAAACCCATTTGGGGCCCATAAAAGTTTACTATTACGGCCCATGTGTAATATGCATACAGGATTTTTGTGAATATATAATTATGAGTTTTTTTTGGTAAGATCTAATTTATGAATTCATGATGATCATTTTCCGACTATATGATTTTTAACAATATTTTTTGTATGAAATTTGCATGTAAATGTAATTAATTTTTTTTTTTCTTTGGCTTCAAGAAATCTATTGATCAGTTAAAAGATTAGTTGGAAAAACTCTAAATATAATTAGATCAATACATTTTAGACATCAATAAACGTTTGAACATTTCTGAGTTATTTATAGACACATCGAATTTAAAGTTACAGTTTGCAAAAAGAAAGTTCAGCTACAAGTTGTTGCATACCAATCGTAACAAAGAAAAATCAAATATGAAATTAGACAATAACAGATTTCGAAAGGCATCGTCAATCTCTCTTTTGCTGTATCTACTATACATTTTTGCAACACTTTTTGGGGTTCCTAATCGGGTCAAATTTTGTTTAATTTTGACCCGGAAATCTTCAATCGGATCTTTCCTTATTTTTGACAAAATTAAAAAACGAAAATTAATCAATAAAATCTAAAAAATATATATTTTCTCAACTAATTACTATACCTAAACTCTTTATTTATGGCATATTCTCTACAATTTTTATAGATATAGAAATCAAATATGATTATTTAATGCTAATATAACAAATTTGAACTAATTTCCTAAAACCTCTCTACCTAATTAAAACATAAATATATGATTCTCATTTTACTTTTATATGATCTTATATTTATATTATTTTGAACTATTATAAAATATATATACTTAATAAAAAAATTCGATTTTTTCTGCATATGCTATGATTCAAATTTTTTAAAACGGACATATTACTCAATCGATGAAGAAAAAAATATGTGTACAATCTATATTAACATTTTTGAAAAACAAATTTGCGCGTTTAATCAGGTCGTATTTTTTTTTTTTACTCTGACCCGGAATTGAGTCATTCAGATATTTTCTTAATTTCTACAATTATCTAAAACGGGACAATATACCACTGTGAAATCTTAAAATTAACAAATCGAAATACAATTATTTAGTATTTTAATATACATTTTAAAAATATTTTTACGGGTTGGTCTAAAAACACACACTAATTTGAAATATATATATATATATATATATATATTATAGAAACTATTTGAAAGCAAACTTTTAAATTGACTCGAATTATATGTCTTTTAAATAAAAGTGTTATTAAAAGAAATAACAAAATGATGTTTAATTTTACGGGACATGATTATATGGTGGGACGGGTCGGATATGGATTGATATTAATACGGGATAATATATCACGGGTGAAATCCTGGGATTAACAAATCAAAATACAATTATACAATTTTAAACACAAAACAAAACAAATACAACTTAAAATTTTCATTTTTAGTTACAACGCATGTGACTCGCAATGTACAACAAAAAATATTATATACAACAAATTCATCAGTTTATAAAAAAACAAAAAAAATCAAATAATTAACCCGCGGTGTACCGCGGGTAACAATCTAGTTTTATACATTTTCATATATAATAATTGTGTTCTAGTCGTCTTTGTAATAACTATTTTAAATCAATAAACGCATGTACAAATCCTCTATAAGAAAGCGTACCGTAACCATAAACCATGTGTTGATGGTTGCGGAAGAACCAAACACCTCAACGGCACCGTTTCATATGAGCACCGCTTCGCACGTTTCTTCCATCTCTCTGATCACGTGATCGTCGTCTTCTTCAGATCTTTATCACTTTCTTCCCGGAGAAATTTTTTGCCCTAAATCACTTTCCCGGGAAAATCAAACTCTGGGAAAGAAAAATGTCACAAGGCGATACAGTACCGCTTCATCCATCGTCTCAATCAGACATCGACGAGATCGAGAATCTGATTAACGAAAGCGTCCAATCAGGTCCCGGAACCGTTCTCGCCGCTCGTCCACCGAGCCCAACCAGACCGTCGATTCCAGTTTCTTCTTCTTCTCCGTTTATGCAATCGAATCTCCCACCGCTACATCCGTCGTCATCAGCTCAGAAAGTGACACCTGTCCCCGTTCCTCCGCCTCTTCCGGCGGTAAGTAATTCCAGCAATTTCCAAGGAGCGAGTGCGTTTGGATCTCCGCCTAATACGTTGACGGAGCCTGTGTGGGATACTGTGAAACGAGATCTGTCTCGGATTGTGAGTAATTTGAAGCTTGTGGTGTTTCCTAATCCGTATAGAGAAGATCCTGGGAAGGCTCTTAGAGATTGGGATCTTTGGGGTCCGTTTTTCTTCATTGTGTTCTTGGGATTGACTCTTTCATGGTCAGCTTCCGTTAAGAAGGTTAGCTCTCAGATCATTAGAATCTGTATGGACTCAGAACTCAGCTTTGAGCTTGTGTGATGAAAATGTGATCTCGAACTTTAGCTTTTGGGTATCTGATAGAGTTCTTTGGAATGTCTCTGTTACAGAAAATGAGAAGTTTCAAAATTGGATTAAGATAGTATTTGACTTCACTGCATTAAGATTGTTCCTTTGATTGTGATTTGTTAGATTATAGATGTGACACGATGACAAAAAACGAGGACTGAGGGTTTCTCTATGATTGCTGTTCTTGTGGTATTGCTTCTCACTTGATTCTCAGGCTATAGGTTGTACAAAGTTTCTTCCTTGTACAGTGGATCATGTAGGATTTTGACTCACAAACTAGAGCTTTGGATGCACTATTTTGAGTTATCATGTAGAAAAATCAGGACTGTTCTTGTGGTATTGCTTCTCACTTGATTCTTAAGCTATAGTTCCTACTGTGAATACATGTAGGATTTTGACTCACATACTAGCGCTTTGGATGCAATATTTTGAGACATTAGCATCTAGGACTTATTATGGATTTAATTTGAATCTGATTTAATCACAGCTTTTACCGATATTGAGTAGCTCGATCTGGCCAATTCTTCATAGACTTCTCTGTAGGAATGGTTTGTTATTGGAATTTCAGAAGATTCTGAAAATTTCAAAATTTATATCATTAGGGCCAGTGATGGCTTTTATTTTTATGTTGTTTGGATGCACTTTTGGTGATGATATATCTGAAAAAGACATGTTTTTATTCTGTTTTCGTGCGGTGTTTTGACTCTTCTGACATCGTCCAAATGTTGTTATTACACAGTTTTTTTTATTGTTTTCCAAATGTATGTTTATTCTCATTTACATGTGAATACTCGTTTTACTAGACTTGAAAGCCTGAGCCATTGTAGGTTTCATCTTGTCTCCTTGAAGTCACAAAGCACTTCATAAATGAATTAGTGCTGTTGTTTTTTTTATTGTTTTCCAAATGTATGTTTATTCTCATTTACATGTGAATACTCGTTTTACTAGACTTGAAAGCCTGAGCCATTGTAGGTTTCATCTTGTCTCCTTGAAGTCACAAAGCACTTCATAAATGAATTAGTGCTGTTGTTTATCTATTGGAATTCCTCTTTGTCTTATACCGTTTTCCTGTGATTCCAGTCCGAGGTATTTGCAGTTGCATTTGCACTATTAGCAGCCGGGGCGGTGATCCTTACACTAAATGTGCTTCTCCTGGTAAACCACTACTGCTCTCACCCTTGTATCTCGTGCAGATGTTTTCGTTTTATTTCATACTTACCACATCATGTTGTGTCATGAACAGGGTGGACATATAATCTTCTTCCAAAGCTTGAGCCTTCTAGGTTACTGTTTATTTCCGCTAGACGTTGGAGCCGTGATCTGCATGTTGAAAGACAATGTGATACTGAAAATGGTAGTTGTGTCTGTAACCCTTGCCTGGAGCTCATGGGCTGCTTACCCCTTCATGAGCGCAGCGGTTAACCCAAGAAGAAAAGCACTCGCTCTATACCCCGTCTTCCTCATGTATGTATCAGTCGGTTTCCTCATCATCGCCATCAATTAAATCCGATTTTGAGAAAAAGGAAATCATCACGGGTATCTCTGAAATCAGTTTGGATAGAAAGTTCTCATACATATACCAACCATTCTAAGTTCTGATGATCATGTATAAACATGTTCTTTTACACTTTTTTGGTTTTGGTTCAAAGGAGATTCTCATTTGTATGTGCCCCGCTCTCTCTGTATTAAACTTACATTTATATTTTTTGACATGTCAATGATGTCATACAAAGTTGTTAGCTACCATTTGCATATACATCACTTCCAATTTTGCATATACATCACTTCCAATTTTTACCGGTAGAGAAGTAGATATGATTTGTAAAAAATTAAAACTTATTTATTTTGAACCAAACCGGATCAATGTTTTGAACCAAAAATCAAACCGGGAAAACCTGTATTGACGAGCCCTCTTCTTCTTCTTCAGTTACACGATTCAGTGAAGCTGCCTCACTTACTGGTTTGATACTGCCAAGTTTTTTCGCTTTCTCAACTCTTCCTTCTATGGTTATCTTCCTTGAAACCCTAATTATCCTTATTCCTTCTATAATAGACTTGGTTTAGTGAAACCTCTCTGCTACAGTAAGACAGTGTCTTTTGTCGTAGCGAGTTAATAATCTTGTTGCTGGTTATTGCAAGGTTGGTGCTTTGAATATCATCATGTCAGAGACTGGTGATTTATGTCTAGAACTTCCCAAAGATGATCCCTTTTATCACCATAAAAAGGTCTAACTTGCTAATTTCTCTGCTCTTCTTTTATCTTAATACTCAACTCCATTAGCTTTTGCCATGGTAGTCTAAAGATTGGATCTTTCATGTGGCAAAAAATTAAACATTTTCTCATGTTTCATTGATTGTTTGATGTTTTATGTAAATAAAGTTGAATTTTCTTATGATTTTTGTCTGTAGAAGTTCTTGAGTTGCAAAGGTGTAGGCGTAAAGGAAACATTGAACCTCAGTGGATCATTATCTCAACAGCTTTTGAATGCTGCATTGGAAAAGTTGCTTCAGTTTGGACGAATAGTTAACCTCGATAAGGTAAGCAAATATCGAAGGCCGTTGTAGACATTGAACCTCAGTGGATCTTACCTTTCTAATGCTTGTGAAGTTGCTTAGATGATGGATTGAGTGAAATGCAGGTGGAAGTTTACTTTGGTGAGGATGCTTGTACTTCAGCAGGAATTTACAGTGTTAGAAATGAAATCTCAGCTCTCAGCTGGATCCTTTCGCTCATACCGGTTTCTTGTGAAATGCAAACACAAGTCGATACCTTCGAAGCTCTACGAGCTGCTGTAAAAAGTAGAATCAGTGAGGTTGTTGGAGCGGAAACGGAGAGAGCTAGAGTTTTTGATAGCTATAGATGTGAAAAGGAAAGCAGATTAGTAGAATGGGGTCAGGACAATGGAGTCAAAACCAAATTGCAGATAGCTCGTAAGCTTAGCGGTTTTTCTGTTATGAAGTTATAATTTCAACAATGATGGATAGAGATTTCAGTTTATTACAATGTGTTTTATTTGGATAGACATTGATGGCTATGGACGAGGAGCTATCGCTAGTGAAGACTTGAAATTTGGCGATGTTGCTTTAGAGATTCCTATCTCAAGTATCATTTCTGAGGAGTACGTGTTCAACTCCGACATGGTATATCATTTTTTTCATCCTGATTTCAAGATTGCGTCAGTTTCATCATATCAATGTTATATGATGAGTGTTCTCTTGTCTTCAGTACCCAATATTGGAGAAGATTGATGGGATTACATCTGAGACAATGGTGCTATTATGGACCATGAGGGAGAAGCATAACCTGGACTCGAAATTCAAACCATACTTTGACTCTCTTCAGGAGAATTTTTGTACTGGTAAAACTGTTTGGATAACTAAATCCGCAATTCTTGTAGCAGTATTTGTTTAAAAGAGTTAACAAACATTGATTCTCATTGCAGGTATGAGTTTCGGGGTTAATGCAATCATGGAGCTTGATGGTACATTGCTTTTAGATGAAATAATGCAAGCTAAAGAAGTGTGACTAGATCTCGTCTCTTTTCTTTCGGGTTCTGTGATCTGTATTATGTTCTTGATTCCATTGACCATTGTTTGTATATCTGCAGCTTTTGCGTGAGAGGTATGATGAATTGATTCCTCTTTTATCGAACCACCGGCATGTATTTCCACCGGAGCACTATACATGGGAACATTACTTATGGGCTTGCGAGTTGTATTACTCAAATAGCATGCAAATCAAATTCCCTGATGGAAAGCTGAAGACTTGCTTGATTCCTGTCGCCGGTTTTCTCAACCATTCGGTATGCTTATTCTCTCTTTCTGGTATACTAAAAAACTCCTATCACTTTCCGGGTTGATAATTTGGCGGGTTTGCAGATATACCCACACATAGTGAAATATGGAAAAGTATGCGTTGAGACGAGTTCCTTGAAGTTCCCAGTCTCAAGGCCTTGCAACAAAGGGGAACAATGTTTTCTTAGCTACGGAAACTACTCTAGTTCGCATCTGTTAACATTTTACGGATTTCTACCAAAAGGCGATAATCCGTATGATGTCATTCCCTTAGGTAGCTTACCCTACCTCATTCTGAGATCACTCAACCTTGTTACATGTTTTTTGCCTAAATTTGTATCTCTTCCTTGCAGATTTTGATGTCATTGATGATGAAGACACTGAGACTGAGTTTTCTTGGACAACTCACATGGTACGCGGGACTTGGCTATCGAGCAATCACGACATCTTCCACTACGGCTTGCCTACTCCATTGTTGAACTACTTGCGCAAAGCTCATGGACTTGATCATCATTCCGAAACAGATGTATATAATCTTCAATCACCTTCGTATAATTACATCTCTATCTCTCTGAATTTAACACTTTAGATATTTATCTCTTTTCTTGATTCTTTTAAGCTATGGAAGAACTTGGAAGTTGAGATGGGAGTACTCGAGAATCTCCAATCCACATTCGATGACATGATGCAAAATCTTGGCGATGCGGATTCTATCGACAGGTAAAAGTAGTTGTATTTAAGTTATACGAAAGCTGAAACAGAGTGGCGAATTACTTAGTAATCCGCCTGGCTTTACAGAGAAAACGCGGATTGGGATGTTAAAATAGCGATGGAGTTCAAAGAACAGCAGAGAAAGATTGTGTCTTCCATTCTTGATTCATGTTCTGCAGGTATCAAACTAGTTCTAGAATTCATAACTAACCCACCGGTTTTAGCCAAGCTAGAATGATATGAGAACCTGATCTTGTTTCAGTTTAATATGAAATGTATCTTCTTGACAAAGTTAAATTGTATGAGTTAAAGACTTTAGTTACATAATTTCGAATTGGTTCAATGAAATTAAACCAAGATTGACAAGTTTTATTCTTTCTGATTCATCATCGTCGTCTATATAATAATAGACATCGTCCCGCTCGTGCCATAACTCAATATTATAGATGATCACAACGGACATTCCTCTGTTTTTTGCTTATCGAGTTGCTTCAGAGCATGATTATAGGTGGGTTCTTAGAATTTGCTCTTAGCAATATTTAAGTAATTTATTTGTAAAAGTGATTGTTAAGAGATAGTATTTTTGAGTTAAGATTTTTGTGCGATTAATGGTAGGCTCTTAACATGTGGTTCTTAGAAAAAAAAATATTAATATAAAAATAAAATTTATAATTATAGAAAATTTAATAATTGTTACAAAGTAAAAAAATTAAAACATACATGAGATACAATTTATAACATAAATAACATAAAACATAAATGTTTTAAACTTAATTTCTGGAATATTTTGTCCATATATGCTCGACCAAATCATTCTTCAATTGTTGATGCATACCTCGATCACGAACTCGAGCTCTATTGGTCATCATTCCGAAGAAATTTGAAGGCATATCTGTAGAATATGTGAAATCCACCCGTGAACTTCCTGCAGATTCCGCTTGTTCGAATTCGGTCGTATCAAACAGAGTATACCCATCTCGTTCGTCTTCTACTATCATATTGTGAAGTATTATACATGCTCGCATAATATTTCCTATTTTTACCTTATCCCAAAGAAGAGCCGGATTTTTGACAATGGCAAATCGAGCTTGCAAAACGCCAAAAGCACGCTCGACATCTTTACGGCAAGCTTCTTGATGGGTTGCAAATAAAAATGCTTTCTCAGTTTGTGGAAGTGAAATAGATTGGATAAAAGTAGCCCATTTAGGATAAATGTCATCCGTGAGATAGTAACCCAAATTATACTCGTTCCCGTTGACTGTATAATTCACTGCTGGTGCTCGCCCTTTTAAGATGTCATCAAAAACCGGAGAGCGATCTAGAATATTGATATCGTTTAAAGTACATGGCGGTCCAAAAAACGCATGCCATATCCAAAGATCTTGGGAAGCTACAGCCTCTAAAACGATCGTTGGTTTTCCAGAGGCACGTGTATATTGTCCTTTCCAAGAGGTAGGACAATTCTTCCACTCCCAATGCATACAATCAATGCTTCCCATCATCCCGGGAAATCCTCGAATCTCTCCAATAACGAGTAGCCGTTGAAGATCTTCTGCAATGGGTTGTCGTAAGTACTCATCTCCAAAGCAATAAATAATTCCGTCAACAAAATGTTCCATGCACTTCATCGAAGTGGTTTCACCAATCCGCATGTATTCGTCAACCACATCAGCCGCTAAACCATATGCAAACATACGAATTGCTGCTTTACACTTCTGTAGTGTAGATAAATCGTTTTTTCCTGTAGCATCTCTTTTTTGTTGAAAGAATGGAATTGTGGAGAGGCGATCAACAACACGCATGAATAATGGCTTATTCATTCTAAAACGGCGTCTGAATAGATTAGGAGGGAAAGTTGGATTTTCTGCGAAATAATCGTTCCATAACTGGATGTGTCCTTCTTCTCGATTTCTTTCAATATGGACTCGTTTTTTCCTCGGTTTTGCGGCTTGCTGACGATCACCGTAAGAATCCAAAGAATTATCCAACGCTTGCTGGAAAGCATTGGATAAAGCATTAGATAATTCTTCGTCCAACGCTTCTTCGAAATTGTAATTGGAAGATGAAGCCATTTTGTATGTATAATTTTTAGGAAGAAAAAGATTTGGGTTTAGAACAAGATATTGAAGTGAAAAGAAATAGAAGATGATATTTGCTTATGGAATAAATTATGGTTTAGAATTGGTTTTAGATAAGTAATTGGTTGTGGTTCAACGATTTGGATTTCTTTTGTTGTGAGTTTGTAAGAAAAAGTAGACTGAGGAGAAGAGATAATTCATAGCAACATGAAACTTGTGATATTTATAGGCAATGTTCTCAAATAATACATGGTTACAAAGCATTTGTGACTTGTGGTACAAATCAATTTAATATTTGTGGTTACAAAGAAGTGAACAAATATGCTTGGTCCGTGACCAAAGAGAGAGTATCAAGTGGTCCAAAAGCTTGCTGGAAACTTGTGGTTACAAAGAAGTCTTGTGGTGTCCAAGTACAGATTCAGACTTGTCCTCTTCTTCTCCTTTCACGTGAACCTGCACATAATTCATACCAAGTTATTGCAAAAACCAGAAGTTAAAAGACATGAAAGAAATTGAAACATAAACAAAAAGATACAAATCAAATTGAAACATAAAGACATAAAAGAAATTGAAACATAAACTTCATTTAGCAAACATAAACCAGAAATACAACCACAATTTCAAATTGAAACATAAACATAAAGACAGAAATCCAAGCAAGAAATTAAAAGCATATACATAAATATAAAGACAGAAATACATGAGAGACATTCAAAGCAAAATCTCCCTAATTAACTTGTTCTTTAGTTCTTCCTCAATTTCAGATAGAGGATCTGATTTAGATAAAAGAGATTCAAGCAACTTCGAGTTGGTAAGTTCCTTTCTGAAGGCATGTTCTTGCTGCTTCAAAGCAAACTCTTTTTGCCTTATCTCCCATAAAGCCTGAATCCTTTCTACAGCCTGCCCTTCTTCTTCTACAAGTGGCGCAGTTGTGGCAGGCTTTTTGAGTTTTGCCTTGGCTACCTTAACACCAGCAGGACGAGATTGAGATGCTTGAGACTCATTATGGGCTTGTGAAGCTTCAGAATCTATCTTTCTTCTTTTATTCTTGTCAATGGATTTAGTGGACTGCTCTTGACACCACTTCTGCTCATTCCTCAACGCTCTCCATGCATGCTCCAAGTTGAACTTATTGTCGTAGTCAGCCTCAAATATCTGATGCGCAAGCTTAATCAGATCGTCATCATTCATACCACTTGACACATGTCCTACTGCAGCTTGGAAAGAACCCACAAACTTACAAACAAGCTCATTTATCTTGGCCCACCTTTGTTTAAAGTGGGTTGGCTCTCTCTTTTTCTCACCAGATATATTGGGACTTGCAGCATAATATGATGCAATCCTCTTCCAGAATGCTACTCCTCTTTGCTCATTGCCAACAATGGCATCTTTACTTGTATTAAGCCACGCAGATATTAAGACTAAATCTTCTTGACTTGTCCACTTGTTCCTCTTTCTTGGTGTGGATTTAGCTTTGGCGCTTCCACCTTGAGTTGTAGCTTCTGTCGCTTCTGTCCATTGGGTGCTGTAGGCAGGGAGATCAGATTCACCAAGTCTGATACTTGGTGATGCTGACTCATAAGCATTGGGGTTTAGGCTTCCTCTTTCTTGTTGACTTGTTAACATCTCCATGAAGCCAGCAGAGTTAGTATATGGATTCATCTCCAAGAGTTTCAGGGAGTTGACAAAGGGAATTAAAGAAAATGAAAGATGAGAGAATGAAAGAGAATGAAAGAGAATGGGAGAATAAAAGAAGAATCCGAGAGAATGAAAGAGAATGAGAGAATAAAAGATGATTCTCGGAGAATGAAAGAGAATGAAAGAGAATTGGAGTTTCTGAGAGTGTTAAATAGATTGACAGAGAATGAAAGAGAAAGAGAGACTTTATGTGTTAGTGTTTGTTTACAGTTGTGGGTAACAATCAATGATACACTTACTTCTAAACCCTAATGGAAACCAAACAAGCATTGATCAATTAAAAACTGATGTAGACAATCTAATTCAACATCAAACTGACAGAAAGCAAACAATTAAAAATTCTTTTAAGATGCATTTATCACTAAATTGACACAACCAAAACACTCAAGTCTCACCTAATATTAACTACAAAAATAATCAATGTTCTAAATCAAATTCAAGATAGCTTCTGTTACCTTAATGTCTGACCATTTAACGCAGCTTCTGATCCTCACAGTCCATCTCCTCTCCGTTCTCTCATCTTTGTGTCCAATAAACACCATATCTCACAATAAAAAGAAAACAATAAATCAAATTCAAGATTAAGAAACAATACAGATTAACATTTGAAATAAAAATCACAAATATAATGAAGACTAATCACTACACAAAGCATTTATGAAGTACAATCACTACACAAAGCATTTATGAAGTACAATCACTACACAAATCATTTATCTGATGTAGACATTCTAATTCAATTTCAGGTAGACAAATAGCAAACAATTAAAGACACTCTAAAAGCATTTATCACAAACTGACACAACCAACAACACTCAAGTCTCACCTAATCTTAATGAAGACTAATCAATATGCAGCAGCTAACAAAAGCTCAATTATCTCAACAGTTTCCGGAATATTAATCATCATCACAAATGATCCAACAAAGTCTTAATCCAAACAATCATCCACACATCAAAAACAGAGTATTACCTGACATTCATGTTGAAGAACATGACACAACTGCACTGCTTCTTTAAACCAAGTGCTTCCATGAACTCCACTGCTTCTTTAAACCGACATTCATGTTGAAGAACCTACAATATTAAGCATATACAATCAACTTTTATAGTCTGAGAACATGCTTCCAATTGACAATGACTTAAACATTACAGAATATAGATTAATCATGCTTCTAATTAGACAGCATCATACACTTAACAACAAAGAACACTATTTCTCAAAATCTAGAAACCCTTATTTAACAAATCCAAAGAACACTACTCAGAAATTACTTAAACAAAAACAACACTGACTCAATCATGCTTCCAATTAGCCAAATATTAGAGTTAACAACGAAAAACATATTTTCCCCAAATCCCGAAACCCTAATTTCAAAAATCTGAAGAACCCTAATTTGAAAACTCTTTTAATATATACATCACACACACACTCAAACATGCTTCTAATAAGGCAAACAATAGACTTAACAACGAAAAACCGATTATCCCCAAATCCCGAAACCCTAATTTGTTAATCCGAAGAACCCTAATTTGTTAATACGCAAAATACATCAATTCAGACACCAAATGAGACATGCATACCTTGAATAATATAGAACTGAAGCAGAGATTCCGATTTCGAATCGAAAATCGGAGATCTTGTGAACTTCTCTCCGATTTCTAAACCCCACCTCGCCGAATACATCAGCCGAGCACGCCGTCGCCACCAGAGTCGGTGGAGATGATGGGCCGACGGAAGAACGACGACCGGAGTGGAGGAATCTCCGATATCAAACGATTTCCGGAAATCATCGGGATTTCTCCGATTTCTCCGTTTTCGCGAGAGAGAGAGAGAGAGAGAGAGAGAGAGAGAGAGAGAGAGAGAGAGAGAGAGAGAGAGAGAGAGAGATAGAGAGAGAGAGAGAACACGGAAAAAATAAAAACGCGTGTGGTTTTTTTCCATTAAATATTTCTCGGATTGCCCATTCACAAGACGCCACGTGGCTGTCTTTTAAGCCAACTTTCGTTCCTTAGCTAAGGAACGTTTGTTAGTGATAAAGGGAAAAAATGATTAATGTAATCAATTTATTCCTAAGATTTTGCTAACATACTCCCTATAATCATGCTCTAACATATATAAGATTGGGCTTTTTTGGGCTTGGCTGTTAAAATCATTGAACCCATAAGCAGAACAAAACCCTAATGGCCTAATCTCTGCGTCTCCAATTCTCAATATAAAACTGTCTTCTTTCTCTTCTTCACCAAACAACGCTTCTCTCAACATATCTGATAAGTTCTTGTGCTAGCCCTTCACATAGATAAGTTCAAGATGACTTAATAAGTTAATAAACACAAGAATGTAGCATACTAGATTTTACCTCGCGGTGTACCGCGGGTCGATTTTTTAACTAAAAAATTAAATTTTAAAGTGTATTTTTTAATATTGTTTATTTTGTTAAGTGTTTAAGATTGTATAATTGTATTTTGATTGTTAATTTTAAGATTTCATCTGTGATATTAATACCGTCCCACGGTATTAATATCGATCCAAACCCGTCCCACTATATAACTCCGTCCCGTGAAATTAAACATCATTTTGTTATTTTTAATAATATTTTATTTAATAGACATATAATTCGAGTCAATTTAAAAGTTTGATTTTATATATATATTTTTAAATTTTAGTTAATAATAATTAATTTTATATAATAATTTCTGAATTAATTGCGTATGACCAACGGTCAAGATTGAAGATTAAAAACCGGATTAAGATTTGAATGGCCACGATTAAATGTAGGGATTGTTGAGATCTTTTAAGGAAATCGAATTGAATATGGATGTAATTGTGGCAAGGATTAGTTATGTTTAATATATTAGATTAAGATTTTTGGAAATGATTTTTTATGTTAATATCTTTGATTTAATTTTGAAAATCTAAATAATTAATGTCAATGACATTTGATCGTAAATAAGTTGGAACTCCATGATTTATTTCATAAATGTCTCCAAAAATGTATATATAGATTACTCCTAAACACATCTCGAACTTATCAACATGTAGGTGTAGATAATGTGTATTGCTCATATTTCCAAGAGAGTATACAGCCTTATATATACATCAAGCATAGGGAGACTCTAGTGAGCATATTGATGCATGATTTATATTTTTTGCATATGTTCTAATAGAGAGTAATGATTGGCCTTCTAGGAGTAAGAACTTGCTAGTAATCAATGCAGCTACTAACATTGAACTATATAATTGCAAGTTTGCAACACATAAAAAACCCGGGTTCTAATCCTCAAATCCCATGGTGATCTCCTATTTAAGCATATGCATGATGACACATAATATAGTCTCCGGCTATATCCTCTAATAGTTTACTGTGATTCGTTTTCAGTTGGTGATTAAAATTTGGTTTGTCATCATTTGTAACAGGTGAGCGTTTGAGCCGTTGGGTCTCGGCTGGATGCTTCATGATGGGTGTGTCGATCATTTTCTTTTGAGTGTCAACTTCTTACTTACAGAACCGGTTCGTCTAGATTTTTACTTGTTTGAGATGCTCATTTTTCTGTATGCAAAAAGATTCCAAGGGGTTGTTGATGAAACCGAAAGAGTAGAATATTATCCTCGTTGGATTATGGATATGATCTTGTATTTGGAACAATTGTGTCTGTTATTTTAATGTGGCGACAAGTCCATAAGCTCAAACATAGGAATTAGAAGAACATAAGAAATTGGAACCAGCTATTAAAACGCATCTTTGTCGCAAAAGAAGAGGGTGATCACATCACATACGTTACTTGAAGTTTTGCTAGTTTGATTGAACTAATGAGAGCATCAGTTAATAAAAACCAAACATAATTAAAAACTCATACTAAATAAAACATAAAATCAAAACACTTGAATTCTAATAAAGCTTTGAAAATGGTTCAATGGAGCGCTGCGGACAGGACTGAAGTTAGACCGTTATGTACCTAATCTACCATTCACAACATCGGACCAATATGTGGTATTGCATACTAAACATCTAGCCACTACTGGATTTTTTCGTTTGCAGCTTCATTAACAATCTCTCAATACAAAGTATTCATACTCTCATAGCTTCATTAATAAATTAGTTGTTTTTGGTCCCACACTATTAATAGTTTCAATCAAAAGAAAAACCAGTTAGTTTATAGGTTTATATTAATCTAATACGTGGTTTTGTTTCTCTTACACTGAAAACACCATAAAAATGAAACTATTGTCGTTTGTTTGGTATTAATTGTTGATATTTTTTACACTATATGGAGGCCTCCAAGCCCACCTCTTGGTTGCCATTGCCCGATCACTTGCTATTTGCGAGTTACATGTCGATTACTTGCGAGTTACGTACGAGTTATTTACAAATTATTTCTTTTTTTTTCATGTTCTTCATCCAATTAGCAAGTGCAAATTAGTGAAATACCTTGAATTCTATAGAAATAAAAAATGTCATATTTTTAGTTGAATCAAATATGTGATCCGAGATGTTGAATGGAAAGTGGATATCTCGATCTTGTTAACCATTTAACTCCTCCTGACATTCAACAACTAGCCTTCCGCTACTCCAACATTTTTTAGAGAGGAGTATTAATATCATGGGGGTCGTGAACATCATAAAACAAGGATGTTATAGCCTAAAGTATAGATCTTGTTATATTCATGCTGATAATTACACCGCATTCTACTGTACGATTGAGTTCATCTACCTCATAATCTACTAAACAAGAACTTCCAACACATTTTTGAAGAGGACGAATGAAAACATGCAATTTTTCTATATTTATATTGATCATTAGTATTTTAACAACATTTTAATATCTAACGTTTCTCGAAAAATTAATACTTTTTAACAACTTTTCATTATATATATATATATATATATATATCTTATTTTTTCATCTATTTTTAATTAGTTTTAAGTTTTAAGTTTTTACTAATTATTAAAACTAACTAAGTGTCATTAACTCAACTGATAAAGATCTTAGGTGAAGCTTAGTGGTCGCCGGTTTGAGTGACGCTTGGAACGAAACTAATATTTCATGATGTGGTTTCGGGCCTGGAGGGATTACGGGCTTTGGTATAGAACCTCTTGGTATTAGAAAATTATAAAAAAGGTAAAAAAATAAAAATAAATAAAACTAGTAAACATGAAAAAAGGTTTTAATCAACCAACATGGTTTTGATTGTCATATGTTTATCAGACTAATTCAATAGAAATTTGTGGCAATTTACCACTAATGTCCTATGATAATTTGTAACAATTTTATGAAAATACCTTTGTTATTCATAGGCGCTTTTTGCAGGTTCTTTTTTGGTTAATTTAGTTTCTTTTCAATATTTCAGATACATTTGATCTGATGTAAATAAAAGTATAATTTTAAATCTTTCATTTTTGTGTTCGAGTCAGTTATTATTTTCATAGGGAAGAATAATTAGTTATATACTTATATTCATATTTGTTCGTTTAATTTGGATCGATTAGTTACGGAGAAATTTCAAAGTTGATATAATCTGTATATATACTAGATTACTAGGACAGTGAGGAAGAGAGACAAGTGTTTGCTTAATACCACTATACTCAAGTAACTCAACGCATGTAAAAGTAAAAAAGAAGCAAATAAAAGCCGAAGATAAATCATAAAAAAAAGAGATAAATCTCGTTTATTTAAAGATAATGATTCTTAATAGGAGCATAAACAAACAAGTGTTTATGTTTTGTTTTTTTTTTTTTTGAAGAAACACATTCACTTATTTGCCTTGACTTTGGCATGGAGATTGTCAAAGTAAGCCTTAGAGTTGGCCTCAAAAGCATCTCTAGGGATATGAGTAGAACCACCAGAACCGGGCGCAACCATATTCCCAGGACCAGGAGCAGTGCCACTGCTTGGGGTACTGCTGCTCTGAGCTACCGAACTAGCTTTTGCGCTAACATCTTTCTTGTCCATTTTTACGTTTCAACTCTTGACAATATGTGAGCTTGTTTGGTATGGGTTTAAGACGAGATTTATATATTTTAGTTTGGTAGTGCGAATGAATGTGACGGAAAGGTGGGAGAATTTATAGATGAGATTTGTTCAAATTAGTCAAATTAACACTTCCCAAGATTATCACCATTTTCTGGTATTAAATTATATATCGTGAAAAGCAATTGTAGTTAATTGCATGGGAAATTTAATTGGAAAAGGGCAAGTGACTTTCTTGGAAAGCTACTTGGAATAACGTTTAGTGATTTTATTTTAAATGACTCTTGTAAATTGAATTAACATATTTCATTACAGAGAATATATGCTCTAGTACCCCATGAAAAGAAAAAAACAAAATAGATTTCTCATTTGTTTAAATTATGATCTTTACAGGAGAATCATTACATAGTACTATAGATAGCTTGCATAAACAAAGAAGGTGCTTATGTTTCTAAACTACATTACACTTTTCACTTATTTGTCTTGTCCTTGGCGTCCACTAAGGTTTAGGGATACCTACAAAATGATTGTCTCAATTAAAACCATTACAAGAAGCTGAGACAGACCTCAAAAACGTATCAATCCTTGGCCAGGAAACAAGAAACTTGATAGATATACAAATATCTCCGTAAGCATTCATAAGTAGTGAGGATCCATATTATCTTAATTCCTAATAGCTTAAGTCATATGATTTGAAATAGTTATATTTACTTTTTGTACTAGAGCTTGTCCTTAAACAAGTTATCTCAGGAGACCAGAGGGGTATGTAAGAGATTGAGCTTTGTCTCTCTGTTTACATTTCCTACTTCTGTTCTTTATAACGATATCTTTAACTTATTAATTTTCTCTTGTTTTCCAATCTCACTGACCTTAACTTCAACAAAACCCACCAATATGTTGTATGTTCTCTGGTTAGAAACCCCGTTGGCGATATTAGTTTGTTTCTCTCTGACCATTTAACTGAATAAGAGTATTTTCTCTCTGACCATTTGTTGTTTGAGATATTATTTTTATTGGTATTGATAAGACATCTCTTGCTTTAGTTTAATGACACAAATACTTCACATACAGTGTCGGCTCATGAGGGAGGGTGAGCCGGCGAGAGGTTCCATCTCGTGCCCTAATAATTTAGAGGCTTATTTTAAAAATATTTGAAAAAATTAGATTTTTAACTAGAAAACAAATCCAGGAAACAAAAAACTTCTATGTGTTTTTTTTTGTTTTTATAGCAAAATTGTTTTATCGAAATACATAAAAAAAGCTTTTCATAACAAAAAGTTCTGTAATAAAAATTTATGGGAATAATATTGAGACCGCAATGTTCACATATATGACGTTTTAGCATTTTACCACATAAATTTGGATTTTGGGACGGTTTTAAGAAATTTAGAGATGAATATTTTGGATAACAGTAAAAAATAGAGATGAATATATTAGATCATTCAAATAATTAAAAGAAAACTGTTGATGTAAAAGCTTGAACCTTGAACTGTTTATGCGGAATCTCTCACTAGTTCACTCTTTGTTCGATCACTCGTGTGTTTAAACAGAGAAAGTAAAACAGACACAAGCAAATGTTAACCCAGTTCACGTTCAATGATGAACGCTACGTCTGGACCGAGATTTCCCGGAAATCCACTAGAAAGCTTGGTTACACAAACCCTTAGAAACGAAACTGAAAACTCTCAGCTGTCTCTCTTGCACTCACTCTTCCTTAACCCTAATGTCTCACTTATTGTTTGTACCGAGGTTGTAACAACGAATAACTATAGGATTTTCGGGGAGAACGAAGTAACTTCTTTATTAACGACGAACGAGATCGGTTAGTTACAGGGAGAAATGACGAACGTACAGACGATGAGCTACGAACAACCAACGAACGTATACGCAAAGAACTATGACTAACGAACGAAAGTTTACGAAGAAAACTACGAACGAAAGTATACGCTGTGAATAATTCTCTGATCCTCTGGATATTAACCACTGTCTTTTCTTGTTACAAATAGTGTCTTATTTATAGGACAATCATTGTGACCTAAGGTCTCTTCTGTTCCCTCAGCAAATTACCATTTTACCCTCCAAGCTTGGTGGGCTGAATTGGAGAGACAACAGGCCCGATAAATAGTTGGGTCTTTGTTTGGGCCAAATGGCATTTTGTGGGTGAAGCCCATATCCAACAATAAGCCCCCCCCCTAGTCAAGCAGACGAGAGTTTTCTTGAGTCTGGTGAACGTGTCTTCTGAATTGGATATATGTTGATTTGGCATAAACAGGGGCGCATGGCTTTTTCCGGTGATTTGTGCCGTGGGCACGTTTTTCGAGGAGCGCAGAGCTCGTTTCGACGATTTGTGCCGTGGGCACGTTTTTCGAGGAGCGCGGAGCTCGTTCCGGTGATTTGTGCCGTGGGCACGTTTTTCGAGGAGCGCGGAGCTCGTTCCGGTGATTTATGCCGTGGGCATGTTTTTCGAGGAGCGCGGAGCTCGTTCTGGTGATTTATGCCGTGGGCATGTTTTTCGAGGAGCGCGGAGCTCTTTTCCTTATCCTCTTTGCTTTCTCTCCCTTTTTTCTTGGTTGTGGGTAGTTTGGTGAAGAAAGTGGATCGGTGAGCTTTGGTTCGTCGGATTGGATCGGTGGAGAACCGTGGTTCGGCGAGCTTGGTCCGTGGTTCGGCGAGCTTGGTCCGTGGTTTGGCGAGAAGGACCGTGGTTCGGCGAGCTTGATCCGTGGTTCGGCGAGAAGGACCGTGGTTCGGCGAGCTTGGTCCGTGGTTTGGCGAGAAGAACTGTGGTGTGACCGTGGTTCGGTGAGAAGGACCGTGGTTCGGCGAGCTTGGTCCGTGGTTTGGTGAGAAGAACCGTGGTGTAACAGTGGTCGGTAAAGGAAACCGTGGTTCGGCAAGGACCGTGGTTAGCGAAGGAAACCGTGGTTCGGTGGGAAGTTTGGTTCGGTGGAGTGCTTGGTTCGGTGGGGCGCTTGTTCGGTGTGACCTGCGGCTCGTTCGGCGTGACCCGCGGTTCGTTCGGTGTGACCCGCGGTTCGTTCGGCATGACCCGCGGTTCGTTCGGCGTGACCCGCGGTTAGTTCAAAGTGACCCGTGGTTCGTTCAAAGTGACATGCGGTTTGTTCGGCGTGACCCGCGGTTCGTTCGGCGTGACCTACGGTTCGTTCGGCGTGACCCGCAGTTCGTTCGGCGTAACCCACGGTTCGTTTGGTGTGACCCGCGGTTTGTTCGGCGTGACCCGCGGTTCGTTCGGCGCGACACGCGGTTCATTTTGCGTGACCCGCGGTTCGTTCGGCGGGACAAGGGCGTCATTCTGGAGAGCTCATTTAGCAAGTTCGTATGACAGACTTCGTATGTCGGACTTCGTACGACAGACTTCGTATGTCGGACTTCGTGCGACAGACTTCATATGACAGACTTCGTACGATAGACTTCAGACTTCGTATGATAAGGTTTGTTCGGTGGAGTTCGTACGTCACGGCGAAGGAGTCTTGGTACGGCCAGGACGACGAAAGTGTTTTTGTACGCTCAAAGCTGACAAGCTCAAATGGCACGCGACGGTTGAATCGCTTACGATTACTGATCTTTGCGACGATGATCTTGAGCCTTTTCCGGAGTTTGCGGATGGCGTGCCTACGGAGGTAACCGAGGCTGGAGTGGGGGAAGATGGTACCTAGGTCGCTGATGCCTTGGTGATCTCTTTGAGTACGAGAATTTGATGTTTGTTTTTTCTTCTTTCAGTATTCGTAGATTTTATCCGGCTTTTTAGCATGTTGTAGCTTGTCGGATCGGCATTATGTACTGTTGACCCTTTAAATGTACTGTGGTCGTATCGTTGTTGTAGCAGCTTCCTTTTATTGATGAGAAGGTGCAATTGGTTCTTGTTTTTGCTTGTTCTTGATATTGTACTTATTGTAATTGCGGACAAGGTGCGATCTGCAGCTCAGCTTATCCCGTCTAGTCGTTTGACTTTTACGTGCTAAGAGAAGCTGTTTATGCCTTTATCATTTTTGTGCAAGGTAATCCTCGGCTGATTTTGTGCGAGGTATCCTTGGCGTTTTAAGCTTAGTTTCGAAACGTATTATGGGGCAAGACGTCTCTTGACTTATCCTGTATACGTTTGAGCCGAAACGATGAACTTAGTAGAAAGTAGACAAGGCGGACTCGTTGTACTATATATGTGCGGTTCTGGTGTCCGGCTTATCCTGTGGGTGCTATGAGGTCGGCAAGAACGTGCAAGCCGGAGCTTGGCTTATTATGATTCGACCGCCTGCTAGCTAATGCGAGACTGGCTCGGCTTTTAGTCCTTACCGAAGTAAGGATGTGGATTATTTCGCCACTGCATCCATGTGGAACGTGTTTAAATCGAACTCCTGGCCAGGGAGACGATGTGGGAGCTGGTCGATCGTCGAGACGGACTCGTTCAAAAGAGCTCGTTTGTATTAAGTACGTTGGCGTTGATTTATACTTGTGATTTGATGATGTGAGAGCAGATCAATCGTCGAGACGGACTTGTTCGAAAAAACTCGCGTAAAGTATGTCGGCGTTGATTTATACTTGTGATTTAACGATGTGGGAGCAGGTCAATCGTCCAGACGGACTCGTTCGAAAAAGCTCGTGTTAAGTATGTCGGCGTTGATTTATACTTGTGTTTTGACGATGTGGGAGCGGATCAATCGTCGAGACGGTCTCGTTCGAAATAGCTTGCGTTAAGTATGTCTACATTGATTTATACTTGTGACGATTTTTTTTTTTTGTTATAGCTGTGCCCGGGAAGGGCTGCCTACGTACCCATATGAAGGGATCAAGCCAACCGTTCATATTGCGAAAAATAGTATTCGGTAAGGTTTACAGGTTTTTTTTTTTTTTTTTTTTTTTTGGCGCGAGGGAGACGCTATTAGTAGTAGCGTTTGAGATTTGGGGAATTCAACGAACGAGGAATAGGAGTGTCGTCCATCGATAAGAGTTCGTAGACGCCGGGTTTAACGACTTTGGAGACTAAGTAGGGGCGCTCCCAATGAGCGCCTAACTTTCCAACATTTACTTCGACGGTATTTTCAAAAACCTTGCGGAGTACGAGATCACCTTCGGCAAAGTCTCGAGATTTCACCTTCGTATTGTAAAATTTCGCTGCGGCCTGCTGGTAGTTCTGGATGCGTAGGAGAGCTTGGTTGCGTTGTTCTTCGACGGTGTCGAAGTTATCGAGGAGCATTTTGTCGTTGAGTGAATGATCCCGGACGAGCATGGATCGTCTAATCGTGGATAGGCCGACTTCAGATGGCGCCTTGGCTTCCAGCCCATAAGCTAGGGAGAAAGGCGTTTGGCCAGTCGATCGGCGTGGAGAGGTGCGGTGCGACCACAATACACCACCAAGTTCGTCGGCCCATGCTCTTTTTTATGATTATAACCGGAGAAAGTATCCATGAAGGAGAGCAATTTGTTATCGGGAGTAGCTTCAACGAGCTGGTCGATTCTTGGGAGAGGGAAACTGTCCTTCGGGCAAGCTTTATTGAGATCGGTAAATTCAATGCAGACTCGCCATTTGCCGTTTTTCTTCTTGACGACGACAGGGTTGCTCAACCAGTCTGGATAGCGTACTTTAACTATGGATCCCGCGTCGAGCAGTTTCTTGACTTCTTCATTGACAGCGGTGGCGCGTTAAGGACCAAGTATTCGTCGCTTTTGCTTTACCGGTTTATATATTGAATCGACGTTAAGCTCATGGCAAGTAACTTCCGGAGCGATTCCTGTCATGTCCGCCATTGACCATGCAAATGTCATAACATTCAGACAGAGGAAATTGACGAGATCGTCTTTAAGCTGTTGCAGTAGGTCGGAACCTATACCAACGCATCGAATAGGATCACTTGTATCGATATTGACCTGGACCACAGATTCGGTTGCTGGGATAGATCGCGCGTTGCGTTGCTAAGCAGGTTCGGCAATCACAAAAGTCCTCGCGTTCCGTAGTTGGCGTTCGACTATGAAGCAGGTACATGCTACTAGCGGATCACCCTTCAACGTGTAGATTCCATGTACAGTCGGGAATTTGACGCATTGATGGTAAGTAGATGCGATGGCTTTCATTTTGTACAACCATGGGTGCCGAGGATGACATTATAAACGATTGGTTTATCGACGACAGCAAAATTGAAGCAGTGCATCGTTCCACCGACGTAAATTGGCAGCATGATAGTGCCGACAGTCATGACCGTGTCTCCGTCAAAGCTAGTTAATGTTTGGACGTTGTGTTTGGCTGAGCGCAAATCTACTCCCACCTGTATGCGAACATCTTTGAAAATGACGTTAACTGAGATGCCTGTGTCGATGGGAACTTTGGTGACGACACTTTCTCCAATAATCAATTCGACGACTAAAGGATCGTTATGCGGACCCGTCAGACTGGCTGCGTCGGCTTTTGTGAACGTGATTGGTTCCGTATTATCGAGAGTTGGCGTGCTATTTACGATCCAATTGCGGTGAACTTCGACTTGGCGTCGATAATTCCAGATTGATCGGATAGAATCTCGACATGTCGTTAAACCGCCCATTATCATGTGAATGCGATTCCAGGGAACCGACGCATTATCATCATGTCGTGGTCCATCACGGTTTCTCTTAGGGGGCGCGGGTCGTCGATCGTTGTTGCGAGGCTCTTCTGTTCGCTGCCGGTCATTGCATCTGTTATGGTCATCCTTTTGAACTGGGTGGTATAAATTATCCTTGTGAGCGGCTACTTGGCATCGTTCATATTCGACATCGAGGTCGCCTTTTTTGCATTTTAAGAGAAGTAATAGTTGGAGTTATCGGCATTCATCGGTCGAGTGACCAGAGACTTTATGGAACTCGCAGTACGCTTGATTGCGTTTTGGATCTGTTTCACGATAATATTTGTTCCATGGTTTCGAAGGTTGTGAGTCTGAACCATCAATGGCATACGTCGCTGCTTTCTTAGCTTTGTCACTTTTAGCATAATCCTTGTCGTAGTGTTGGCGAGGTTCATAGTGCTCGTCATTGGACTTATCTTTCGAACTTGATGCTTTGGGCTGTCGTTTTGCCATCGCGGCCTTCTCTTCCTCGATTTCGATGAATCGATTAGCATGATGCAGAGCATCCTCCAATGTTGCTGGTTGAGTAATCACGAGATCTTCTCTGAATCTAGACTCATACGAACATGCATTACGTAGAGCGGCGATCGCGGCGTCATCAGTTATGGTAATGCTGGAAACGACTTTCTTGAATCGCTCAATGAATTCCCTCAACGGCTCTTTATCTTTTTGAGACATGGTCCATAAGTCGGCATTCGAAACACCCTTGACCATAAATATGGAGTGATGTTGCAAGAAAACGGAGGTAAGCTGGTGATAGTTGTCAATCGTATTGGCCTCGAGTCGTGAGAACCAGCTTAGCGCGTCTTCGAATAGGTTTTCCACGAGTAACTGGCAGCTACCAGCGTCACGCTCCACAGCAGAGAAATGGGCGCAGTTGATCGCAATACTAAGAGACTTCAGGAAAGGCTTCGGGTCAGTGAGACCGTTGTAGGGAATAAGCTTGACCTTGTTTTTGACATGGTGGACGCGTACTTCTGAGATGCGTGTTGTGAAGGGTGACCCCTGCATCTCCTCCAGTACCTTCTCCAGTTCTGGCGCGGAGCTGGTGGCTCGGTGCATTTTGGATGACATTTCCTTCAGTATTGTGTTCATACGTTCCAGCTCCAGATCGCGCGTTGGGTCGCTACTCTCAGCATGTTGGTTTTGGAGACTTCGGCTGCTTGGCAAGGTATGGCCGTGCGGCAAGCCTTCGCGAGGATGCTCGTCGACAGATCCTATGATAATCGACGCCGGCCGGCGGCATTGGTTCTCTGAGCGTTCGGCAGCAGGGGTGCGTGGAGACGGCAGTCCTTCCTTGTCGTCGCGATGAGGGGTGCGTGGAGACGGCAGTCCTTCCTGGTCGTCGCGATGTTGAGAGTCACGCCTACGTCGTCGGATTCGTTCGATTTGAGCTTGGGCGGCAACTTGCGCAGCTATGAGAGCGTCAATCCGTTCGGTCGTCCGCGCGTCTTGACCATCCAGTCGGTCCAAGATGGTTTGCATAAGGTCATCTAGGTTGGTGCCTCGGTTGGCTGCTACGGCATGTCCGAGGGCGGCGTTGTTGGCAGCGTCTGCTACTTCGGCTGCTGCTACTGCTGCTACGGTGGCAGGTGCGGCTGGATGTCGTTCGGTACGCATAAGATGTGATTCGGCTCGAGCGGCCGCTGGGTTCTCCAGAGGTAGCACCATCGTGTCGGGCTTTGGTTGTACGCTCGTGTCTGTTCCTTGATCGCTTGAGGTGTCCGTCATGTCGTCTTGATCTTCTTGGGACATCAATGTCGTTCATCCAAAGAAAAGCTTCGAACTAGCCCCACGGTGGGCGCCAATTGTTTGTACCGAGGTTGTAACAACGAATAACTATAGGATTTTCGAGGAGAACGAAGTAACTTCTTTATTAACGACGAACGAGATCGGTTAGTTACAGGGAGAAATGACGAACGTACAGACGATGAGCTACGAACAACCAACGAACGTATACGCAAAGAACTATGACTAACGAACGAAAGTTTACGAAGAGAACTACGAACGAAAGTATACGCTGTGAATAATTCTCTGATCCTCTGGATATTAACCACTGTCTTTTCTTGTTACAAATAGTGTCTTATTTATAGGACAATCATTGTGACCTAAGGTCTCTTCTGTTCCCTCAGGAAATTACCATTTTACCCTCCAAGCTTGGTGGGCTGAATTGGAGAGACAACAGGCCCGATAAATAGTTGGGTCTCTGTTTGGGCCAAATGGCATTTTGTGGGTGAAGCCCATATCCAACACTTATATCCTCCTTTTATACAACTACACTCACCGCCACACTCCTCTCTCTCTCTTCGTACTCTGTTTCAAATGCAAAGAGAAGGAGACAAAATGACTGAACCTTTGGCTTGAGGTTAATTACGTCTCTAGCCTTGATGAGTTGTAACACGAAGCACGTGCGCCTCTCGTGACTTCGTTTGCTTCCACAAGCTGAGACCTTCTCTTTGGGTTAGAGTCTTTATGACACTTAACGCAATACTTCCACAAAAACTTTTAAGAAATCTTGGAATTATGATAATTGTTTTGGGTAATTTGAACACAAATGCCATAAAATTCAAATACCCTGTCTCAGTGTGCTATATCTAACATGTCTTATGTCGAAAAGTTATATAGTCTGGAGAACGTACAATAATGTCAAATGACAGTATAATGAATTATGTCTTCAAATAATATTTATGGATTATATATTATTCCTTTGTATTAACTAGTGTCTACTTTTAATTCATTGTTCCTCGCGGACTATATATATATATGTATTACAAATATTGGACCCTTGTTTTTTTAATAATGGTCAAGGTAGTTAAATTAGGTTTAGTGGTTAAAACTGAAACCACCTCATAGTCATAATAGAGGGTGTGACTAAGATTCCAACTCGAAGCATACAATAATGAGCATTATGGGAGTTTAGTAGCTAACCAGTTCTATTTTCTTAAAGATTTTTCTGGTTTGATCTTTTTGTTATGGTAGTTTAGTAGATAATAGTGAGCATTATGGTAGTTTAGTAGCTAAATAGTGAGCAATAATAGCACTCATGAAAAAGAAAATTTTTTTTTAAAAAAAATAATAATAGCACTCATGTAAAAGAAACGAAATAGCAAACATAGTCGAATTTATTATTTATGTAATTTTGAAAACATGTGATATGAGAGATTGTTACTAATTTTAATGAATAGATGAAAAATAACTAAAGAAAGGACAAAAATAAACTACTATGCAGTGTTCAAGAAAGCGCTAGGCGCTAAGCGGGCGGTGACCCAATGCCTAGCGCCTAGAACGCCTAATCGGGCCTAGGCGATTTTTTAGGCGGTTTAGACGTTTATAACATAAAATATTATAAATATGATATTATATATATAAAATATCTATATAAAACTAAAAATTATGAAATTATAAACAAAAATTAGATAAAACATTTATTTATATTTATATTAAATAATATATGAATATTTATAACTATATATATAAATAAACTCTAATTAAAATTGAAATAATACATTAAACAAGATCTGTGTAATTTTAGGCGGTCAAGGCGGTTATCTAGGCGTCGCATAAGAGCCTAGCGCCTAGTCGGGGCCTAGGCGACCGCCTAGACCGCTTTTTAGAACACTGCTACTATGTATGTGTGCGACTAATCCTAGACAAATTAACGGAATTGAAAGTACCGAATTAAAAATGGAACCAGAACAGATCCGAATATTCTTCTATACGTGCATATACAGTATAAATTTACACATCATTACTTTATAGCTTTTTTTTGCAAATGCATCACGCATGGTACCCTAATAGTGTCTCCATCATTTGACATTTGTTTTTCTTTGGTGAGTATTTGTCATTACTTTATGACTGCCAAATGAGTCATCAAATTCATTAACATTTGACTAATACTATATTTTATCGTTTTTTGTGGGCAAAGAAAATTATCAGTATTTTGAACATAATATTATAAAGTAAACTAAAATTGGAAACCTAACAAAAATATATTCGAAAAAACAATAATAAAAAAGAATGATAAAATTTGATGTGGCTGCTGGTGGCAGCAAATTGGCGGACCCCATCTTCCAGGTTACATTCTTGTCGTTTTCTAGCTTCCTAACACAGAGCTATAATCCCCTGCTCCAGAGAGCATAGTAATACCTACACCTCCGAGTAAAAATCAGCCACGTTTCCTTTATAGAGACACAAGTTGGTGTGACGCTGACAATAAAATAAATAAGTTTGATAAAACGTAGGAACCAAAAAAAAAAAAAAGCTGAAACGAGAAAAATTTCGATTCTATTACTCGTAAAAGCTTCTTTTGATTCTCTTTGACTCTGTTTTGTGGGTAGCTCCTGAAGAAGAAGAAGATGATGGTAGTGAACAGCTTTGATCTATGGCAAAAAGATGTTTTCTTCTCTGCAGCTGAAGAGGTTCAAAAATCTGCAGATATGTATGTTTTCTTGTAGCTTTTGATCTTAAGTAGCTTTTGATGTTGCATAAATGAAGAGATTGAGATGTTTTTTTGGATTATTAGAATGGAGTCTGCTTATAGATTGTGGGTTAGAGAGAAGAAAGATGAGATCTGTAAAGAACTTCAAGCAGCTTTAGGTACAGCTAAATGGCAGGTACTATAATGTTTCTTTAATCTCTTCAGGTTTAGTGTGTTCTTGTTCTTGTTCTTGAAAAGTTTTATGTTTTATATTTCTTTATGTTAATTTGAGTTCTGAAGCTGTGTGAATCAGTTGGAGGAGTTTGTGAAGGCGGTAAGATTGAGTCATAAACGGTGTGGGGATGATGATTCTACGTTGACACGGCATAAACAGTTTGTTACCGCTATTGAAAACCAGATTCATCGTGTAGAAACTTCTCTGCAAGAGGCTTATAGTGAGAATGGAAAAGAGCCTCTTCGTTGGGTTGATCTTAATGAAGAAGAGCGTGATGACTTGGCCATGTTTCTCTCTGGATCTTCTCGAATTTCAGAGAGTTTTAGTGGTGAGAGCAGCATTGAGTCGAGAGAGTCTACTAATAGTTCCCTAGTTGAAAATCTTCCAGGGAAGAACAGAATGGAAGTAAACTGTAAAAAAGAGACATTCAAGAAAGTGAAAGGTTGCGGTAATGGCTCTGAATGTGTTATAGATATTAAAGAAAGAGTAACACCGGGAAATGCAGATGCGAGGATTCGCCAAGAAGAGAAATCAGTTGGGATGAGAAGAATATGGAGTTCACCAAATTTCAATTCTTTGAGGATTATAGTTCCTGGTGGTGATAATGAAGAAGAAAAGGAGACATTGGTGGCACAAATCGAAGCGACGCCTAAAGTGAAAGGAACTAAGTCTGTATTGTGGATGCAGAGACTTCCTGATCATAGTCAGGTGAGTGAGTTTTCACTATTAGTTTATCTATAAGCTTTACTCATGTTAGCAGGAACTAGGAAGTAACATACTTGTTTAACGTTTTTCAGCTCTTTGACAAGACTGGTTGCTTCCAAAATCCGATACGCTTACCATTTAATCACCCGATCAAGCTCACTGTTTCCGTAATGCTAATGGTGTTTCTTCTATGTGAGTAACTTCACTTATTTTTCATAATGAATCAATAATTTGCTAAATATAGATTTCGCTCTTTAGCGTGTTAATGTTGCTAACGAGCATTGCTTTTCCCCGTGTTTAAACCGATGCAGTACCCTTTGTAGTGTATTCATCTTGAGAATTCAACCACGGTTCAAAACTGTCAAGAAGTTAAAGAGATCAGCTTTCACGTCTAATGGTTAGGATGCATAATCCCACAAGAACAAACATTAAAAAGCTTTTCCTTTCTGAAATGTAATTTACATGTATTTACTTTAACTTGTTGCTTTGGTTCTTTAGAGAACATATAGAAACATAGAAACTTGTGAGATTAAGTAAAGGGAGTAGATAACATCAAAGTACATGAAGCTATTCTCAAAACTTAAATTTGGGGAGACTGCATGCCATGTGTGTTTTAAATGTTGTATTTTTTTTCGTCTTTATTTATTTTTTGTTTACAAAAAAGATATTCAACCAATAATAAAAATTTATGCAGATGTTCATTTGAGATTTTATGTCTTTTGGTTGGTTGAATTTGTTTGTCGGTAAAAAATTCTTAAACTAAAATAGCAGGGGACAAAAAATGTACACCAGAGTGGTAATCCTGATTGGGACATCATGATACAGGTAGCTTATAGAAACTGATATTTCATAGATTATAAGACTGAGAATTACAAGACCTTGAGGATTTGTTAATGGAGCTCCTCCCACTCCCCTATAGATTCCTCACAAAATACTCCATCAACTCTCCCCAAATCTCTCAGACATTATATATAGAAATAGACCAAACCAAGAATGCTAAACCAGAGCTAAACCAACCAAATAATAACTTGGTTAAGCTGAAACTTAAGTAGATATTATTTATGCTATTAACTGCTTCTATCACATCACTCTAGCGATGATCGCAAGCACTGGTAATCATCAACAAGATATCATCAAACCTTGTTTATAGATTTCAGATTTTAATCTATCTATGGTGGAAAGAAATGAATGCGACGGAGGGGTTATTCAACAACTTCTTAGACTGTATGCCAAATTTATAAGCTGCAGAATAGGACACATCACTTAACTATGCCTCTCGACCACGGCTTCACGAGCTACTGCAACTGTGGTTTGGGGTCACTCAATCGTCAAGGGTTCGAGCCTGAATGTTTTATTGTTTTTCTTTTATATATTGCCGTCAACGTCTAAGCAGTTTATAGATTTGCTGCTATAGCTTAGTAGGTTACTTTTTAAACGATTTTGTATATTTTTTTTTAACATGATCAATCAATTACACATTAAAAAATAGCAGAATGGTGAGAGATTCATCCGTTAAAAACGAATCCTTGCATCATCATATACCTAGATGCTTAAAAAAAGATTTGCAGTCATTGTATAAAACTAGTACAAACATAATTAAAATGTCAAAAATACTTGCAAGTATATAGCTTCACTAATAGCATATATTAAAATTTACTGTATAAACTTGAACAATCATAATTAAAATAATTTATCAAATTATAATTTTAGAATTGTTTGTTTTGTTCCTAAAAATAATCTAAATGGAACTTTTCTTCTAAGGATGCTTGCAAATCTTTTTAATGCATGTAGATTGCTGTAAAAAAAAAATGCATGTAGATATGATACATTCACCAGTCACAATTATTTTTGCGTATTTGATATGTCATATTATTATTTTTGTAACACCTATTAAACGTGGAGTCATTGTTGAAAGTGGTTTACATTTTTTTTCTAATGGCACGTATACTCGATAAATGAAGAATAATTTCACAAAAACCCAATGTCTTATTAATCACAAAGAGGGCGATGCCAAGCAGCCCCAACTCAAAGGGATAGGGACGAGGTGCGATGGTTTGGAATTTTTTTTTTATATAGGAAAATTTACATATAAAAAGGCCTAAATATTTTTTAAAATTATCATTAATATGAAACTTATACTTCAAAAGGTCATTTTTATATTAAAAAATTTATTAAAAAAAAAGTTTTAAAACAACAATTTTTATTATGAAAAACATCAAAAAAATTTTAAAATAGTAAAAATATAAATATTTTATGTTAACAAGCCAAAAAAATTTGTTAATCCTAAAGCTCCTAAATATATTGGATCGGGGCTGATATCATGTCTCTCAAGTTTAATCAACTTAAGAAAAAAAGATGAAACAAAAGCAAAGATTATGAGTCTATGAATATAAGGTTTATTCAACCCCTCATTTTAGATTTGATTCATTACATAATATACTTGAACTCGCATAGTTAGAATTAATGAATAAATTTTTAATCACTTAAATTTACATCTAGTAATAGTTTCCAAATCTATCATAGTGCTTTTGATCCAATTTCACATACAAGTAGATCTTGTGTGACTCACAAACATTTTTACCACTCAACAACATCTAGAAGATCATTTTACATTTTTACTCCATCGAAACTTAAGATATGGACAACCCTAAATTTTAGATTTATCACACAGAGTTGAATTTGTTGATGTCAAAATTTAATTGAATACTAAAACTTACAGTTACATATGAAAATAATGGAGAGGAATGTGTATTTTTATTCATCATAATTATTTTTCGAAATGTAGACATGTGTTTTTTTTTTTTTTTTTTTGAAATGTTAAATTTATTAATCAACAAAAAAAAATATTTACAAAAGTTTGGGAAAACTAGAAAAGATTAGACTGGAAAATTGAGAAATGTTTGAAAAAACAAAAAAAGAAAGCATAAACCACTCCTTTTATGATGGTGACCTTCGTAGTGAAGACCATCGAGAGAGGAGCTGTTCGTACTTACTTCCTGGTTTGTACTTGAGACTGAGGATGCGGTCGGTAATGTCTTTCTCGATGGAGCATGTGAGCTGGTGGTAGTGGTGTATGTGGTCAACTTTGTGTATGCGACCATTCCGTTCTCTCCACACATGGTATATGGTTGTTTGGAAAATCATACGGATGAGAGCGACATCATTTACCGGAGAGGTTCGGGAGATGATGGCCTGTAGCGTGTTATTCCAATCCGGAGTTGTATGCCTTCGAAGAAGAGGAGTACAAAGAGCCGACCAAACACAGAACGTATACGGACAAGCAAAGAAAATGTGGTCTCTAGACTCATCACGTTCTCCACAAAAGGGGCATGACTGCTCTTGTCCCCAACGACGCATTCGCTGACCCGTAGAGAGCCTATCTTTGATAGCCAGCCAAGCGATAAATGAGTAGCGCGGTACCGCTTGTGGGAACCAAACTATTTGAGACCATGTAACTTTTGGTGAAGAAGTACGAATGATGTTCCAGGTGCATTTGGAGGAGAAACAAGGCAAGAACTCACCTTCTTTATGTTTCCAGAGAAATTTATCTTTCCCGGACAGCGGAGATGGAGGAGAGATGGCATTGATTCGTTCAGTGATTCCTCTGTAAACCTGCCCACGAGCTCGACGGATGTTCCAACTTTCATTTTGTATAACATCCGCAACAAAGGCGTACTTGTCGATACCAAGTTGTAGTGGTCCCAAGTCACCTGTTTCATCAATAAGTCGCCCCACCCCTGTCCAATTATCCCACCAGAACATTGTTGACTGTCCATTGTTTAGCTCAACTCGCATAAGTGAGGCTGCGAGGGACCTCATCTTAAGGAGTTTCCGCCATATCCATGATCCGACACTACTCTCACGAATACTCCAAAAAGAAGCGTTGGGAAACAGATTACGACGACACCATGCTACCCCGGATTGTGTGAAAAGTCTCCAAATAAGGCTGAGTGCAAAAACACGTGACGAGTCTCGCATCCTTATAATACCCAATCCTCCCTCATCCTTAGGCTTGCACACTTCCTCCCAAGCAACCTTTGTTTTTGTGTGATCTGTGGGAGAACCTGTCAAATACTATAGAATAGAACCTTAAGAAAGCATTGCACACACTGCCGATGATCTCAAAACAGCGCTTTGGGAGTCGGAAGACAGAACACCAAAAGTTTGTAATACTCGCGATGACAGATTGTATAAGTTGTAAGCGACCAGCAAAAGAGAGACGCTTACATGACCACAATAGTAACCGTGACCTGATTCGATCCACAAGAGGTTCATAATCTTGGCGTGTCATTGTCTTTGTTGTGAGAGGAAGACCAAGGTACCGAATTGGTAGTGTGTCGAGAGGCAGCCCCAACACACCCGCTTCAGCTATAATAATCCCACTCGTGTTTCTCCCCGCGGTGTAGATTGATGATTTAGATGCGTTAATAAATAGCCCTGAGATTTTCCCAAAATCATCAAGCACTGACATTATACCCTGAAGAGAACTTGCTACACCATCCGTAAACACCAATATATCGTCAGCAAAACTAAGGTGTAGTGTAAGTCCCATGTTTTTGCAGCGGGGGTGGTAGCCAAAACGACCCATTTGAGCAGCCTTGTTCAAGAGACAAGAGAGTACATTATTCACAATGACATAGAGATAAGGTGAAAGCGAACAACCTTGTCGTAGGCCACGGGAGCTTGTGAAAAAACCTTCGAGTTCACCATTCACCGCCACTGAGAAAGATGCCGTCGATAAACAGACATGTATCCAATGGATAAATTGGTCGGGTAGCTGCAGAGTTCGGAGAACTGAAGAGATGAAAGACCCATTCAACCGTATCAAACGCTTTGGAGATGTCAAGCTTGATGACACTACTAGGCGCTATAGTCGTTTTGTGGTAGTCTTTAACAAGTTCTGAAGCAAGCAAGACATTTTCCAGGAGTAACCGATCTTTAATGAACGCAGTTTGGTTAGGTTCGATGAGTTCCGGGAGCAGCTCCTTTAACCGGTTGGCAAGTAATTTGGAGACAACCTTATACAGCATATTACAACAAGCAATGGGGCGGTAATCTTTCATTGTTTCCGGGTCTGTTCTCTTTGGGATCAACGAGAGAATGGTGGCGTTGACTCCTCGTGGCATGAAACCATAAATAAAAAAAGATTGAACCGCTGTTGTAAAATCAATCTTTACCAATGATAGGCCATGCTGACTTGTAGAACTCCACTGGATATCCATCTGGCCCCGGAGCCTTATTTGATGGCATAGAAAATAAAACACCTTTGATCTCATCTGGTGTAATGTCACGAACTAATGATGCAGCAGTGCTTTCCGGACATCGATACTCTAACACCCCTGCTAGGTAATGTTCTGATACCACCTCGATATTATCTGGCCTTGCTTGGAGAAACTGTTGGAAGTGAGCTGCAGCTTCTTTCTTTATTTCTGCAAACTCTGTTATAACCGCTCCGTTTGTAGAAAGAAGTCTCTTGATTGAAATTTTTGACGCACGGGCCTGAGTTGTTTGATGAAACAATGACGTGTTGTGATCACCATGCTGCATCCAATTCAGTCTTGATTTTTGCCAGTAGAACTTCTCCTCAATACCAGCAAGAGAAGCTGCAGAGACCGCAGCAAAAGATTCCGGGTTTGGTGCTAGTAATGCTGTGTTTTGACAAGCACACAATTCATCGAATGCCTCCTTTGTCTTTTTTGGGATATCACCATACTTTTCTCTATTTAAAGCACGAAGACTGAACTTCAATTTCTTTAATTTACGATGGAAAAGAAGTAGTGCAGACCTAGATAGAGTAGAAGAGAGGCTCAAACTCATCCCACACTTGCTGAACGGTAGAAGAAAACTGAGGTAGTTAAAAAAACTTGAACGGGTGACGGGTAGTTGATGTAGAGTTATATAGTTGGACACTACAGCGGCAGTGGTCAGAAATACCACACGTCTCAAAGCTTGCAAAGGAGAGTGGGAAACGCTGCCCCCACACATCATTTACCAAAGCTCGATCTAGCTTTTTCCCAATGGGGTTCTCCTCTTGATTGTTCCACCAAGTGAACCTCGGACCAACATATGCCAAGTCAGGCAATTCACAATCAGAGACAAGGGATTGAAAACTTTGCATTCCCTAAGAACGTGCCGAGATAGTTCCCTGAGAGTGCTCCGATGAAGCAAGAGTCTCATTAAAATCTCCCATGATTATCCATGGCATCAACCCTTGTACAAAGAGATTGTTATTGTGCTTTATCTCCTCCCACAATAGAAGCTTGTCACCTAAATTCATCTATCTCAAGGAATAACAAAAATACTATTTGTCTTCATCAAAATTGAAGAGTCATAAGGTGAAACTATTATTAAAATTTACTTTTAGAATTAAATAATAGAGAAATTATGTAAAGTAGACACTTTTTAAACAAATAATTTGCAAAGTAGATAGTGTTTCTAGAAATTAGAAGAATAGACACTTTTCTCTTTCCTCTCTAATACAACTTTCTCTCTAATAAAGATTTTAGTAAATGACTTATATATCCTTTGTTGTTTTGTTATGTAGCAAGATAAAGACAAACCTATTATTTTTCTCTTTCTTTTTTTAACTTAAATTTAAATACTTTTATTTTGTTTTGTTTTGTTAAAAATTCTTCATAAAAAATTATTACATAAACATATTAATCTTTAAAAATTTTAAGTGAATCTAAAAAGTTCAATTTTGCTATATTTTACATTTTTTAATTTAATCTCAATCCGTCGGTGTACACAATAATGTAAAAAATGGTGTACAAATTGTAGTGTATGACGATAATATAAAAATTAATGTATATTATTAATGTAAAAGTGGTATACAATATGTAAACATTATACAAGGTGGTGTACAAACGACAATTGATAGAGGTGTACACGTACATAATACGATGGTGTACGGAGATTATGTAAAATATGGTGTACATAAAACGATGAGATAGTATGTCGCACCATATACCACCTCGTGTGTAGTCTACAATATCGTACACCCACCTATTTTGTACTTGTACACCACATACAAAGAAAGAACCATTTTTGTCAAGTGATAATGTATAAAACAATATTTACACAATAGAGTACGAGATTGGTGTACAGGAGATTGTACAAACGTTAGTGTACACTACCTAGAAATGTACAAACATTATTTCAATTTAATGGTATACACCATCATATTCATTGGTGTACATGATGGTGTACACTATTATATTTAGTATAACTTATGGTTTATATTACAATCGTGTTTGTATTAATATTATGAACAATAATTACTTTAATTTACAAATATAAGACAAATCGATGTACTTAATGACTTGGTGTACAAGTTAGTATACAAAACTATGTTTAAAATGCTGGTGTACGAGATTGGTAGCAGAATATATACGAGTCATATTTTTTTTTTTTAAGATTCTTTTTAAAAAAAGAAAACCAAAAAGATTAAGAAAAAAAAATAATGATATAATATAATTTGATCCAATAATATCAAAAAATTTGAACCCACACAAAAAGCTAACTCACAAAAGACAAGGGGTAAAGTGGTATTTGACTCTTTTCTTGTCTTTTAGTCTATTACACACCACTTCTATCTCACAAAAGAAATAAAAAGTGTCTATTTCACAAATTTCTAAAAAAACTACTTATTTCTCAAATTACTTTTATGAAAGTGTCTACTTTGCTAAAAAGCCCATAATAATATAAAAATCTCTGTTATGATAAGATTTACATTTTCTCTATAATCCAAATGTTTTATACATTAAAGACACAAGTTTTTAAGATAAACTTTTTCATATTGAAATAATAGTATGGTTTTAATACTTTTAAGAGATTATTATACCTAAAAGAAAAACTCAGGAATGGAATTTCAAATAAAATACTCAAATAAACTAGTGTATACTATTTGAAATTAGTATTAATACTTCAATTGTGTTCACAGTTATATCCATTTAATTATTTATAAATAAATTTTTAATTAAAAAATAGAATGAAAAGATAAGAGTTTTTAACAGAGTTTTCTAGCACTTTTAATTCATTACTTCTCTCTATTTACCATAAGCACAATTCTCATCTAATTGTCAAACCTTGATCTTCAATTCATATTGAAACTAAACCAATTTCTTTTAAACTATTTGTTTAACACAGTTCTGAACAAACATTATATTTTGCCACCATATCATTTTTGCAAGGAAATTTCCTCAATATGATTATCTACCTAAATGATACTATATTTTAACATATATACAGATTAACTAACGTTACGTTTTGATTCTGTAGTTTATGGAAGAATCCTTATTAGTATTCTTCCTAAACTATCTTCTCTGTTTTATCTCATACTCAAAAACCTTTTTTTTTTGTAAATCTCACTTTCTTCTTCTCTTTCACTGGAGGCTGTGAATATTCTGATTTCTGACTAGGCTCTCTACAATTCTCTCTCATGGCTTCTTCTTTTGACGGTAATTCTCTTTTTGGGATAGTTTTTAGAATTTTTGTGCTTGCGTTTTAAGATGAAGCCTTAGACTTGTTAGAGTTTTTTTTTTTTTTTTTTTTTTTTCAATTCTTGATGATCGACATAGTGATGCTTTTACTCATAATTTACTAGTGATTTTTTAATTATCGTGTTCTTTTTATTACTTTTCAAGAGCTCATCATTGGTTGATGAATGCTAATTCTATTTGTGGGTTATTTTACTTCATGCAGGAGCTGCAAGTAACTCAAATTTGAGTGATGATAAAAAGAAAGGAAGGAAAAACCCTAAGCCTCGTCATTTAAGTTCCTATGGGAAGCCTAATAATACCTCACCAGTTCAACCTTCAGGTAAAAACATATTTCACGCAAGTTTTTTTCCATTTACACTATTTTTCAGATTCTCACACATTGCAACAATTTTTCTTTAGAAACAGAAACCAAGAGCGAAGGCAAAAGAGTTTGCTTCAAAACCGATGCTGACGTAAGACAGATGAAGCAAAACACTTCTTCTTCTAGAGAAAATCAGTTGATCATAAAAGAAACTGTCATGGAGAATTTGCCCACTGTCACAACTCAATTTAGGTCAGACCAAATCAATGACCGTCAAGTTAAACCTGAGAAGTCGAAGAAGAATGCGGAAAGTTATTGTTTAGGGTTTGAGCAATGTGTGAAGATCATAAGACAGCTTGAGTGTTCAGGTAATGTTGAGAGCAGTTTTAGACAAAAGTTTTTGACTTGGTTTAGCCTAAGAGCGACAGCTCAGGAGATCAATACTGTCAAGACATTCATACATGCTTTCAAGGATGATTCAACGGCTCTGGCTGAACAGCTCGTTGACACATTCTCTGATTGCATATGGAGAAAGGGTCCTGCGATTGGCGATGGCGATGGAGGTGGCAGTAACGGTATCTCATGTAAGAAGCCGCGACATTGATCTAGAGGAGATTATGTAAACATTGTTTCAAGTTTAAGTCTTTTTCTTTCTTTGGGATCACGTAGAAAGAATTCAACTTCTTTTTTTTTATCTTCATTAGACTTTATAGCATTATTCGAACATTTTCACGGGCATCAGAATTTGGTGATTGATATGGATTTTCTCTTTTTCTAGTGTGATCTATTCTTTTCCACCCTCGATTATTGAAGATTGATATCTTAGCATTTAGCAATCTCTTGAAAATTGCTTGTAACGAAGGAGTTGCAAGGAAAGACAATCCTCGCAAATCAGTCTCTCAAACTTAAACTTAAAAAACTCACAAAGCGAAAAACAAATTAAAGTAGCAAATCCTTCGCGAATTTTGATTAGTAAATCCCTTGCAAATATTGTGATGGACTTGCGAACTTTTTTTACATAATTTCTTTTTTTTAATAAGTAGGTGATGTCCGCGCAAATGCGCGGAGATAATTTTGTGGCAAAGGTAAAATCATGAGAGATTAGAGAATGTTTAGGGTTTAGGGTAAGAAAATATGGGAAATGATGACAAAAAAAAACCGTGATATTATAAATGCTAAACAAATAAGACACTAATCATTTTTTAAAAAAATTGCAAGACAATAAGACATCAACGAACGTCATTACTCCATAGCATTCTCTTTGCGTGTGACGATATGTACTTGATCGTTTTCCGATTTAGAACACAAGAAACAATTAACGTTCAATCGCCAACTTTAGAGTTTTGATTGTGAATGGAAAAAAACAAAAAATAATTACCAACAAAGCATCTCGTCGGTAATACTGACTATTTATTGTCAAACTCATCAATCAGCAAATGATTTATACGTTTATCAAGTTTTTTTTCATCGGATTGCAGAAAAACGTCAATTTTGTATCTCTTGTTTTGCTATCATGGTTATAGCAACACTCATCAATGAGCAAATAATTTTTACGTTTATCAAGAGCTCTTTCATTACGTTGCAGAAACCCATCAATTTTTTTTTTATATCATGGTTATAGTCAAACTCATCAATAAGCAAATGATATATACGGTTATCAAAAACATTTTTATAACGATGTAGAAAACCGTCAATTTTACCTATTTTTTCATTATAATGGTTATAGCAAAACTCTTCAATTAGCAAATAATTTATACATTTATCAAGAGCTCTTTCATCTAACAGGAGAAAACCTTCGATTTTGATCTTTTTTTTTTTGTTATCCTGGTTATAGCCAAACTCATCATCAACAAATGATTTCTACGTTTATCAAGAGCTTTTTCATGAGGCTGCATAAAACTATCATTTTTACTCTTTTTGTTGCAGAAAACTGACAATTTTACCCATTTTCCGTTATAATGGTTATAGCAAAACTCTTCAATTAGCAAATGATTTATACATTTACCAAGAGCTCTTTCATCAAATAAAAGAAAATCGTCAATTTTGCTCTTTTTTTTTGTTATCGTGGTTATAGCCAAATTCACCATCAACAAATGATTTCTACTTTTATCAAGAGCTTTTTCATGAGTCTGCATAAAACCATCATTTTTGCTCTTCTTGTTTTTTTTAACATGGTTATAAACTCATACATCAGAAAATAATTTCTACGTTTATCAACAGGTGTTTTATTAGGCTGTAAAAAAACTGTTAGTTTCGCTCGTTTTTTTGTTATCATGGTTATAACTTATCTCATCAAGCAGCAAATGATTTCTACGTTTAGCAAGAGCTCTTTCATCATGCTGCAAAAACTTATCAATTTTGCTTATTTTTTTGTTATAATAGTTATAACAAAACTTTTTAATCAGCAAACGATTTCCACGTTTATCAAGAACTTTTTCATGAGACTACATAAAACCGTCAAATCTTCTCCTCTTTTTTTGTTATCATGGTTATAGCCACACTCATCAATCAGCAAACCCATCAATTTTTTTTAATATCATGGTTATAGCTAAACTCATCAATAAGCAAATGATATTTACGGTTATCAAAGGCATTTTTATAAAGATGTAGAAAACCGTCAATTTTACCCATTTTTCCATTATAATGGTTATAGCAAAACTCTTCAATTAGCAAAAAATTTATACATTTATCAAGAGCTCTTTCATCAGACAGGAGAAAACCGTCAATTTTGATATCTTGTTTTTTGTTATCCTGGTTATAGCCAAACTCATCATCAACAAATGATTTCTATGTTTATCAAAAGCTTTTTTATGAGGCTGCATAAAACCATTATTTTTGCTCTTCTTGTTTTTTTAACATGGTTATAAACTCATAAATCAGAAAATAATTTCTACGTTTATCAACAGATGTTTCATTAGGCTGTAAAAAATTTGTTAGTTTCGCTCATTTTTTTTGTTATCATGGTTATAGCATATCTCATCAAGCAGCAAATGGTTTCTACGTTTATCAAGATCTCTTTCATCATGCTATAGAAACTTATCAATTTTGCTCATTTTACGTTATAATGGTTATAGCAAAACTTTTCAATCAGCAAACCATTTATACGTTTATCAAGAGCTTTTTCATGAGACTACAGAAAACCGTCAAATCTGGTTCTCTTGTTTTGTTATCATGGTTGTAGCTACACTCATCAATCATCAAATAATATTTACGTTTATCAACAGCTCTTTCATTACATTGCAGAAACCCATCAACTTCTTTTTTATTTTTTTTATCATGGTTATAACCAAACTCATCAATCAGCAAATGATATTTACGGTTATCAAGGACATTTTTATAAAGTTGCAGAAATTTGTCAATTTTACCCATTTTTCGTTATAATGGTTATAGAAAACGCTTCAATTAGCAAATGATTTATACATTACTAAGAGCTCTTTCATCAAACAGAAGAAAATCGTCAATTTTGCTCTCTTTTTTTGTTATCCCGGTGATAGCCAAACTCACCATCAACAAATGATTTCTACGTTTATCAAGAACTTTTTCATGAAGCTGCATAAAATCACATTTTTGCTCTCCTTGTTTTTTTTTTTTTTATCATGGTTATAAACTCATAAATCAGAAAATAATTTTTACGTTTATCAGGAGGTGATACATTAGGCTGTAAAAAAATCGTTAGTTTCACTCATTTTTTTGTTATCATGGTTATAGCATATCTCATCAAACAGCAAATGATTTCTACGTTTATCAACAGCTCTTTTATCATGTTGTAGAAACTTATCAATTTTGCTCATTTTTTCGTTATAATGGTTATAGCAAAACTTTTCAATCAGCAAACGATTTCTACGTTTATCAAGAGCTCTTTCATGAGACTAAGGAAAACCATCAAATCTTCTCCTCTTTTTTTGTTATCATGGTTATAGCCAAACTCATAATTAACAAATGATTTCTACGTTTGTCAATAGTTTTTTCTTGAGGCTGCAAAAACCGTCAATTTTGCTTCTTTTTTTGTTATAATTATTATAGCCAAACTCATCAATCAGCAAATAATTTATAAGTATATTAAGATCTCTTTCATTAGACTATAGAAAACCGTCAATTCTACTTCTCTAGTTTTGTTATCATGGTTATAGCCAAACACATCAATCAGCAAATAATTTTTACGTTTATCAAATTCTTTTTCATGAGCTTGTAGAAAACCGTCAATTTTGTTCATTGTTTTTTGTTTTTATTGTTATAGCCAAACTCGTCAATCCGCAAATGATTTCTATTTATCAAGTTCTTTTTCATCGGAGCCGTCAATTCTAGTTCTCTTGTTTTGTTATCATGGTTATAGCCACACTCATCAATCATCAAATAATATTTACGTTTATCAAAAGCTCTTTCATTACATTGTAGAAACCCATCAATTGTTTTTTTTTTTTTTTTTTTATCATGGTTATAACCAAACTCATCAATCAGCAAATGATATTTACGGTTATCAAGGACATTTTTATAGAGTTGTAGAAAACTGTCAATTTTACCAATTTTCCGTTATAATGGTTATAACAAAACTCTTCAATTAGCAAATGATTTATACATTTACCAAGAGCTCTTTCATCAAACAAAAGAAAATCTTCAATTTTTCTCTTTTTTTTTTATCCCGAATAAAGCCAAACTCACCATCAACAAATGATTTCTACGTTTATCAAGAACTTTTTCATGAGGCTGCATAAAACCACATTTTTGCTCTTCTTGTTTTTTTTATCATGGTTATAAACTCATAAATAAGAAAATAATTTTTACGTTTATCAACAGGTGTTTTATTAGGCTGTAAAAAAATCGTTAGTTTCACTCATTTTTTTGTTATCATGGTTATATCATATCTCATCAAACAGCAAATGTTTTCTACGTTTATCAAGAGCTCTTTTATCATGTTGTAGAAACTTATCAATTTTGCTCATTTTTCGTTATAATGGTTATAGCAAAACGTTTCAATCAGCAAACGATTTCTACGTTTATCAAGAGCTCTTTCATGAGACTACGGAAAAATAATCAAATCTTCTCCTCTTTTTTTGTTATCATGGTTATAGCCAAACTCATAATTAGCAAATGATTTCTACGTTTGTCAATAATTTTTTCGTGAGGCTGCAGAAACTGTCAATTTTGCTCATTTTTTGTTATTATTGTTGTGGCCAAACGCATCAATCAGCAAATGATTTCTAGGTTTATTAAGATCTCTTTCATTAGATTATAGAAAACCGTCAATTCTAGTTCTCTTGTTTTGTTATCATGGTTATAGCCAAACACATCAATCAGCAAATAATTTTTACGTTTATCAAATTCTTTTTCATGAGCTTGTAGAAAACCGTTAATTTTGTCCATTGTTTTTTGTTTTTTATTGTTATAGCCAAACTCGTTAATCCGCAAATAATTTCTATTTATCAAGTTCTTTTTCATCGGAGCCGTCAATTCTGGTTCTCTTATTTTGTTATCATGGTTATAGCCACACTCATCAATCATCAAATAATATTTACGTTTATCAAGAGCTCTTTCATTACATTGCAGAAACACATCAACTTCTTCCTTTTTTTTTTATCATGGTTATAAGCAAACTCATCAATCAGCAAATGATATTTACGGTTATCAAGGACATTTTTATAAAGTTGCAGAAAACTTTCAATTTTACCCATTTTTCGTTATAATGGTTATAGCAAAACTCTTCAATTAGCAAATGATTTATACATTTACCAAGAGCTCTTTCATCAAACAAAAGAAAATCGTCAATTTTGCTCTTTTTTTTGTTATCCCGGTTATAGCCAAACTCACCATCAACAAATGATTTCTACATTTATCAAGAACTTTTTCATGAGGCTGCATAAAACCACATTTTTGCTCTTCTTGTTTTTTTTTTTATCATAGTTATAAACTCATAAATCAGAAAATAATTTTTACGTTTATCAACAGGTGTTTCATTAGGCTGTAAAAAAATCGTTAGTTTCACTCATTTTTTTGTTATCATGGTTATATCATATCTCATCAAACAGCAAATGTTTTCTACGTTTATCAAGAGCTCTTTTATCATGTTGTAGAAACTTATCAATTTTGCTCATTTTTTCGTTATAATGGTTATAGCAAAACGTTTCAATCAGCAAACGATTTCTACGTTTATCAAGAGCTCTTTCATGAGACTACGGAAAAACAATCAAATCTTCTCCTCTTTTTTTGTTATCATGGTTATAGTCAAACTCATAATTAGCAAATGATTTCTACGTTTGTCAATAGTTTTTTCGTGAGGATGCAGAAACCGTCAATTTTGCTCAGTTTTTGTTATTATTGTTATAGCTAAACGCATCAATCAGCAAATAATTTCTAGGTTTATTAAGATCTCTTTCATTAGATTATAGAAAACCGTCAATTCTTCTTCTCTTGTTTTGTTATCATGGTTATAGCCAAACACATCAATGAGCAAATAATTTTTACGTTTATCAAGTTCTTTTTCATGAGCTTGCAGAAAACTGTCAATTTTGTTCATTGTTTTTTTGTTTTTATTGTTACAGCCAAACTCGTCAACCTGCAAATGATTTCTATTTATCAAGTTCTCTTTCATTGGAGCCGTCAATTATGGTTCTCTTGTTTTGTTATCATGGTTATAGCCACACTAATCAATCAGCAAATAATTTTTACGTTTATCAAGGGCTCTTTCATTACATTGCAGAAACCCATCAACTTCTTTTTTTTATATCATGGTTATAACCAAACTCATCAACCAGCAAATGATATTTATGGTTATCAAGGACATTTTTATAAAGTTGTAGAAAACTGTCAATTTTGTTCATTGTTTTTCGTTATAATGGTTATAACAAAACTCTTCAATTAGCAAATGATTTATACATTTATCAAGAGCTCTTTCGTCAAACAGGAGAAAATCGTTAATTTTGCTCTCTTTCTTTTGTTATCCTGGTTATAGCCAAACTCACCATCAACAAATAATTTCTACGTTTATCAAGAGCTTTTTTATGAGGCTGCATAAAACCATCATTTTTGCTCTTCTTGTTTTTTTTTTATCATAGTTATAAACTCATAAATTCGAAAATAATTTCTACGTTTATCAACAGGTGCGCTTCGCCCGGGTGGAATGTTTTCTTAATATGTAAGAGATATTTGTATCTATGTATATAGTTTGTTTGACACGAATTTTATTGTAGTATTGAGTATAATATTTTTGATTAGGAATATAGTAGTAGAGTTAAATCTGTTGTATAAATTACAAGGCAAGTAATTGATAGTATAGATTAATGTGGGATAAGGGTTTGTGGGAATATTTTGATTACAAAGATAAAGCAATACACAAACATTCACATGTGTAATCTTTTGTTAATATGTAAGAGATATTTGTATCTATGTATATAGTTTGTGTTTAAGAATTTCATTGTAGTATTGAGTAAAATATTTTTGATTAGGAATATAGTGGTAAAGTTGAATTTTGTGTATAAATTGTAGGGGCAAGTAATTGATAGTATAAATTAATGTGGGATAAGTGTTTATGGGAAATTTTTGATTACAAAGATAAAACAGTATGCATATCATATTAAGTGTTTTAGGTCCCGATTAAGTGTTAGGCACGTAGATAACATAAATAAACGTTCTACATATATGAAGACCCGGAGAAAACGTATTAACATCATGTATATTTTATATTAATTTAGTAATAATATTGTACAATTTGAAGTGGTTATTTTAAATGTAATGCACATATATAAAATGATGACGCTATTTACAATCCGTTCAAGTGAAAAAGAGTATTGTGCTTTTTATTTCAATGGACGAATATATCTACATACCATGCATGTTTTTATTATTATTACCAGAGTTTCGGACAGAAACAAATGCAACTATCGACACAAATGAATGTGTTTGAAGAGTTTCTTGTTCAGCTCATATTTAAAGCCCTAAAAATTCCAATTGCTAACCCTGATTTCTCAAAGTACATCTCCCACATACAATATTATAATACAATTGTTAGGTAGGTGAGAGGTTAATGCTCTATTAACGCTTAAGAAGTCTCTTAGCTTGCCTCTGTAATATTCTGCAAAGAACTAAATTATACCCTAATAAGCTTTGAGAATTCAAGGTTAACAACGAAAGAAAAAGGTTAAGTACATGCTGCAAGAGAACTGCTCTTAAGAAAAGGGTAAAGAAAGTCCATGCTGCAAGAGAATGCATCTGTAGGACAGGTAGGAACTGCATTAGACTAATTCAAACTATTAATAGACCATAGCATCCCAGGGACACTACAAAGTATATCGGTAGCTGGTGCAAAGAAATACATTATTCATATGGGCTAATTGAGAATAGTAATAAGCAAAAATGAAAATGACAAACTCATTACTCACCAACCATGTACTGCTTCGCGAAATAACTGCAGCCTGCAAACTATTAATAGACCATAGCATCCCAGGGACACTACAAAGTATATCGGTAGTTGGTGCAAAGAAATACATTATTCATATGGGCTAATTGAGAATAGTAATAAGCAAAAATGAAAATGACAAACTCATTACTCACCAACCATGTACTGCTTCGCGAAATAACTGCAGCCTGCAAAAGAGCAATCCAAAAGGCAGAGACTGCTACCACCAGGATGAAATGTACGCAGACTTTTTCCAAGATTCCGAGCTACCTGCACAAATCATAGCAAGTATATACTTTTTAAAGACCCAAAACAACTGTTAAAGAGTATCTAGAGAAGAAACATTGATATATGGAAGCCCATTACTCTTTCTAAGTTCCAAAACTCATACTGTCATAATTTTATAGATAAATTTTCCGGTTTTAATCCAAAGAGATTCAAACTCAATCAAGGAAAAAGCTCATACATCTCTAGTCTTATCTATATTTCCAAATCTCCTAAGAAACAGATGTGTGAATATTCTCAGCAATAGCAAACAGATGTGTGATTTATATATAGTAAAAATCAGATCCAATAGGAGAATTGTTGTTTCTTTTGAATACTTAGAAGCAAATGTATTTTCACCTCTATAATAACAAACAAAGATCAAAAACCACAAAAAACAGAGATTATGATATTGATATTGAAAATGGTTTTGGAGAATGTGTTAGAGAATTTGGAGACTGTTACCATTCACCAAAAGATCATATAGATGTGTTATCGATCCTTGAGTTAGTGGTGATTCCCTTGTCTACAACAACAAACAGAGATCAAAAACCACAATGGAAGATAAAATATTGACAAATTGTCTGTCTCTGATTGCTTTCCAAAGGTCAACAGGAACAATTAGTTTCTGCAAAAGCCAACGATCATATGTGATCGAAGGTTCATAGAAAACAAACAGAATTGGATTTGAAGAAGGTACCAAAATTAACAACAAAGGCCACAAAAGAAGTTTAAAGATCAGTACGAAAGTTTAAACTTTTCTTACCTTCATCTGGAAGCACCTACTCATCATATCTAGAAAACATAATTGTGGGAATATCTTAATTGATTCAAATGGTGATATACGATTAAACTTCCAATTCCAAATATAACGAAATCAAAGGGATCAAAGTCACTAATAAAATTTCATCATTGACAGATTCTAAAATAAATATTCTAGTTATCTTTTTATAGTTAGAATGTTCTAGAACCTTCAAAGACGACGTATGCCTGGGGTACGGACCGATGGTAAGCTCTTCATGTGATGATTATGCTGAACATTGTCATCTCCAAGACTCTCATTCGAGCTATCTTATTCTCACCATCTCTGCCACCTGTTGCATCTGCTCACAAGTATAATCTGAAACCCATGAACAAAACAAAGTCTCATCAGAAAACGGAAAACAATCAAGGAGAAAAAGCTTGTTAGACAAAAACTAAGAAAGAGAGGCGAGAGCAAAAAAAAGAGAAATTAACAAAGTAACACTTTTCATATCCTCTTGTTGAGATATTAAGAAAGCTGAGAAGCTGAGACAGAGTATGAGAAACCGAATCAGATCCTTTTAAGCAAAAGCATCTAATCATTCTTAAATCTTTACAAAATCCAGACAATCTACAAAATATTGGAGAGTAATAGTGATCAGTAGAAGAATCCAGACAATCTACAATGTCACTTGTGGTGGAATACTCAGATGCTTCACTTTGCTTTTGTTTACCAAAGTGAATTGCTATAAAGAATGAGAAATAATTACTATCACTTTTTCCACATTGATAAAATCAAAACCTGAGATATGGGATTCGTCTGGGGAAATCAAACCTATAACCTACATCACCTACCTCTCACATCTTTCAAATTAAAATCAAAAAAATGTTGAAGAAACTCACCAAAAGAAAAGAGAGCAGCACGTTATTAGCATGACTTTCCCTTCTATAATTGTTATCCCACAGATCTTGTTACCAAAGCTTCTAGAATTCAGGATAGCCGTAAGTCATCACATACATAATCGGCACACCAGGAATCTGCAAACTAACAAAAGAAAAAGAGTTAAGAATATCCAAAGACCCCAACCATGGATATAAACAAAAGCATTAATGCATCGGACAATCTTTACCTTTTGAATCCTTCGTTTTAAGTCTCCATTACATGTAGCCACTATTGATAATTTGATTGAGAGATTAAAAGAGTAGAATTTAGAAAATTTAACAGTTAACCTCTCTGGTAGTGCCACCGCCGTGTACGCCTCAATCCACCGTCGTTGATTACTCCTCAACATGATTGGAGAGATGAGACCCAATGGTTCTTTTTATAAGCCATGCAAATGTGTTCTCCTTCTTCACCACATCCAATCTGAACAAATTTGCAAAAGACCAATAGCATGATTGTGTTCTGGTAGATCAAATGCAAGAGAGATTCATGAATGTAATAATACTGTTACCTTGTACAACTCTGTATTTCGTGTGTCTATCTCTGCTAACTCTTCCTTTAGTTGAAGAGTTAGTATCTTTTCCTTGTTGAGTGATGTCTCCTTCTTCTTTTTCGAATTTAAGGGTTGTGATAATGCGTTCGGCTTTTCCTTGAACCTGAGGAATTAGTATCCAGAATACAAAGGAGAAAAAGAAGAGATGTATTGTGATTATCTAGTCTAATTTGATATTCACAGTGTTTAGGGAGAAAAAAATCTAACGGGAAGACACCTTTAATCTAGAGTTAACATTATCCATGACAATTCCCTTACTTTGCCTTCTTGGCTCACCTCGATCTCAGACTCAATATCTCTTTGATTTGTGGTTTGGTTTAAGAACATTAACCTGATTCACCAAAAACAGAATTAGTTCTATATATATTTGAAATCTGAAAACGTCAAATCTGAAAACGTCTCCGCCACAACCTTACATTCAGATTGAATCAAATTTAGCTCCACTCAAACTCGTCATTCCACTCACTTGCTATCCCATCGTAATGAAACAGAGCAATTGTAAAGTTGTCTGAAAACTGGTTTTTGATTAGACAATACATAACAAACATCAGAGTCTTATATAAAATGCTGAATACACAAACATCTCTTACCTTTCTTAGACTTCTCATCAATCTCATCTTAGTATCTTGACACTCTGCATTTCAGCTTCACTTTCCAGAGACAAAACAATCTACTTTAGTTTTTCATTTCTCACAAAACCATTTTACACAACAAAAGCAAGTTTGATTCTTAAATCCAACAAAAACTTAACAAAGACCTCACAGTCACAAGTAAGCTGCTTCTCAACCTTAGTCTCAAACATTCCATTATTACCTGCATTGTTTCATCAAACCAACAACGTGAGAATCTTTTTTGGTTCAGACACATTCCAATACCCAAAAGAGAAAAGAAGAAAAACCTATGATTCTTTTGCTTCCACGTTTCTTATCCATCAAAAGCTTCTGGTTAGATCCACCATGTCTGAAGTCAAACATGCTCATAAACACCCAAACACATCCTATCCTTTCTCTTGAAAGATGTCTTCTACAAATATCTTTCTACATTAAAATCCTCAATGCTCTTCTTCTTCTCTCTCTCTATTAACTCCCACGGAAAAAAAAGAAATAGAAAAAGCATAAATGATTTTTACCTTTAGAATCTGATCCAATGCTTGCAAGAACATGAAAATCCCATATGTAACCAATATTTTTCTTGTAGAAGCAATATATGTCATCAATGTATTCAACTACAGCTAGAGGATTGTTCTTGTCACAGCTGTCTATATCCATCACAGACTCTTCTACTTCAACATCAATATCATTTGAATCTTCCATTTCAATTCCTTCCTGCAGATAAAAGACAACATATATCTTCATCCGAGTAACCAACAAAAAAAAAAGAGTGGCTTAAGTTGTTAACCTTACCATTCGGTCAATCTCTTCAAGCATGGCTTCAGTGTGTTGAACAAACATTGGTTCATTAAAGTCTCCTTCTTCCACATCTGTTATGATTCTATCTAATGTTTCGTTCGAAATCAAGTCTGGTTTCTTGGTTTCCTAACCACAAAAAAAAAAACACTTGAGATTAGACAACCTAAACCATGTCATGTTTTTAATTACCAAATTCAATTTGTGTCAATATAAAGTTACCTCCTTGTGAATTTGGGGATTGTTCTCAGCTAACTGAGCAGCAAATTTCCTGAAGTTAAATCAAGAATTATAGCTCCTAACCAAACTCATAATACAATTGTGACATTGAAGCAGAAATCAATTGAAATTTACCGACCTAGTAACCGGACGATGCAATGGAGTGGAATCTTCTTGTTACATATCCCATTCTTCCTGAGAAAACAATTGGTTCGTAAGATAAGTGTATACAACTTTACAAATAAAGGATCATTCAAAGAAGAAGGTAATAAGTAATTACTTGGTGAATGGTCTCTTGTTGACAGCAGAAGGATAAACAGGAGCTCTGCTGATGTTCTTGTTTATATTACTCAGTGCTCTTCTTGTCTGTCTATTCGTTGGAATTACCTTTCCTCCAGGTAAAACACCTATATACCCAAGTCGGATCCTTCGTACTGCAATCGAAGCAGATCTAAATTTGCCAAATCAAAACAAAAAATTAGCATAAACGAACATATATCCAAATCGAAGATCTAGTCAAAAAACACCAAATCAGCACGATAAAGTCATAAGAAACTCTCTATTCTACAATTTTATCACGATAGACTTTGCAATCTCGACATCGATGTCGATTTAGAGAGCCACCAGAGACGATAACTTGCACGATAATGAAATTAGAGCGAGCAACCTCTGTTTTTCGTGAGCTTCAAAACAGATTTCTGTGTTTTAGAAAGTAAATATATGTTAGGGTTTCTAGCAGTCAAAAAGAAAAGCATGTAAATTCATGATAAAATACAAAATATAGTTTAGATTAGAGACTGACTTTTTGTACGATGAAACAAACACGCTTTGATGATCGTATGCCCACATCTCATTGTAACCTGAGAGGTAAAAAAACATAATAAAAATCAAAAATATATGCTGAAAAAAATTATGAATGCAGGGACAACTAATACGCAATAAAATCGCATAAAAATATATACGATAACAGGAAGAAACACATAAATTTATATAGGTAAATAAATATAAAAATATACAAACTAAAACTATAGAAGTACCTTCCCAAACCTTGTTCTTTGCTCGTCAACACCACCTTCGTCGGAGCGCTTTGTCGATGGAACCTCCCACGTTATACAAAACTGAAACACACACCAAAAAAACAAATCAGCAAAACAATAAATCAACGAATAATGCAATAAAATAAAACAAACAACACAAACAATATGCACACAACCTCTAAAGGTGAATGAAAACAATATTTGCATGACAAACAACTTGATTCATCAGAATCGTTGATGTATAAAAAAACCATAACGGTGAAAACTATCTAATGGCCACAGAAAAAAATAATACATAATTCTCTGGCCGATCAACCATATATATAGCTTTAAGATTAGGGCAAACATCAATCATTATCTTAAGAAATTTAACTTTTTAATTAGAAACTAAATCAGAAAACTAACAAAAACGAATTTTAACTACTAAGATATAGAATTATCCAAAAAATTAACAAATAAATTTAAGCTAAGATTCCATAATCATTAAAGTCGAGACATTATGACATCCGTATCCCCAACGATTACACTATAAAATAAAAAAATTTAAGGGTGATTAAGACTAATCATCTCAAAACACGATTAGACTTATATACCCTTAACAATTAAGAACAAAAATTTTCGAAATCGAGGGTGTTTAGGACATTATTATAGAGATCAACACACGATTAGACTTATATACCTCTAATTACGAAGAAGAAGAAATTTCGAGAAAAACAATTCATTAAGGGTGTTTAGGACAAATCATTCCAACTTTTAACCACAGGCCTCCAATGCCCTAACTTTGAATGTGGTGCGTTTCTACTTCTCAATTAATTATTGTAGAGATATCTATTTTAAAAAAGAGTTTGGTTTTCGATTTGGATCAGTTGCTTTATCAATATTGTGTTGATCATCTTTTAGAAAAAAATGAGTTTTTTTGTGAAAATTATGTTGCTATCTTTAATAAGCCACATTAATATAAAAAGAGTCAATTAGCTATATGCTAATTATTTGAGAAATAATTAGGTGTGACATACACAAGTTTTTTTGTTTGCAAAACAAGAGAGAGAAATATTTGTTTTCAAAAAAACAAGACAAAAATACCCCTGAAATAAATGCGGGAGTTTTCCCTCCGAGAATTTCGTAGGGGACAGGGATATCATGCAATATTTTGTGGGCTTCCACTTATTAAATGCATGTATCGATAATATATTTTGCTATGCAATATTTTGTGGGCTTCCACTTGTTTTTTATCGGATACATGGATATATATCTTACATCGTAATATTTAGTAATGTTGTTTACATATGATATATCACTGTATTTCCTGATATATCACTATATATCATGATATGATATGATATTTCACTATATATCATGATATAGCAATATATTTCATAATATATCAATATATATCATGATATATCAATATATAATATGATATATGTTAAAATATCGTGATATATAAATATATATCATACATCGTAATATTCTATTAATATTGTTTACATATGACACATCACTATACATATATCATTATATATCCTGATATATCACTATATATCCTGATATAATATGATATTCACTATATATCATGATTAACAATATATGTCATGATATATCAATATATATATATCATAACATATATCATGATATCTCAATATATAATATGATATATATTAAAATATCGTGCTATATAAATATATATAAGGTTTATAAATATATCTCATGATATAACGATATCTGATATCTGTTATCATCTCTAACAGAAGCTCAATAATAACGAACGACACACATTCGTGACGTCTTGGTATCAAGAGTTTGATGAGGTTCATGGTATGCATTTTGATCAGAAAAATCTAATCAATTTAATGAATTCAGAAGATCATAATTCAGGATACAATCAATTTTAAGAAAATTAGAAAGAGTCATATGGAGTGTTTCATAAAGTAAAAAAAAAATGAATAAAGAATTGAAGAGAGAGAAAGCGAAAGAAAAGAAGAAAGAAGAAGAAAGCAAATAAGAAAAAATGATGCGTTTGATTTGAGGGATATTATTGTCTTTTCTCCATGTTTTCAAAAGACCCATTATTTACGAACGTGCCACTGCTCCTTTGACTTAAATATTTTGTGGTCTTACGGTATGCAGTGTAATTACTCTATAAAAAATGTATACCAACGCCATATTTCTCATTTAAAGATCCGAATGGGGACATGCAGTTTAACTACAGATATATAAGTGCGGTGCAGTTCTAATAGTAACGAAAATATATTCATTATATTCATACATATTTGTATGAGTATATTTTCGTTACAATTAGAACTGCACCGCATCGTGCAGTTCCGTATCCATTTGGTATAATATTTTTAGTTTTACACACAAATAAAACTTTCAATATAAAGTTTAGTTGTTTACATATACTACAGTTTTCAAATAAAATGATACATAAATTAATCCAATAATATCTTAAATTTATGTTTCTAAGATTATGGAAAAGTTTAATTTATAAATAATATACTTAACGAGTCACGACGAAGATATTGCTCAGCACGACTCCAACGAACAAGCTAGAGTAAAAAACGTTACTAAGTCCTACGTGGCATCTCCCGCCCAACAATCCAGCAAAGTTAGTTATCGAATGTTGTATGATTTATTCTCAGTAATGCGATAAACCCAACGAAACTATACTCAACCACTAAAACTAAGCCACGTAATCAAAAAGTCGTACCATTAAACAATCACGTGAAGAAACACGGATACATTGAGTGCACCGTTACGTACACAATCAAAACAATTATTTAATTTAATTGAATTTAAATGTAATATCTCTGCTCACTCCCCAAGATAGATCTATCCAAGAGAGACACACATTCACTGTTTATGACTCACTTTTTTTAATTTTGGATTTTCGTGAAAAAGCTGAATTTGTCTCTTTCTCTATTTCTCCCCGGCGTCGATTTCACGGCGGCTACACGACGGTCAACGATGTCATTGACTGTACCGGAATACGATTTCAGAGTACGTCTCTCTCATTTCTTAACACCGCTTCACGAATTCTCTCTAAGGTTTGTGTGTGTGTTTGCTTCTTCTGTAGTTGACGCCGCCACAGTTTGGTTTTTCACCGATCGGGTGAGTTTTCTCGTCATTTATAGGTTTTTTCATCTTCGATTGGATTCGATTTGACTCTGTGTATCCATCAGGGAGCATAATTTCGCAGATGTTGATAATCTAGAGAACTGTATTAAGTACTTGAATCAGAGCTTAGTCACCTATGGATTCTCTGCTTCGCTTGACCTCTTCGCTACCGATCCGGTGCGGTTAATCAATCTCTAATGCTTTATCTTTTTTTGTACCGATTTTTTTTTTTTTTTTTTTCTGGGTTGTTTGATGAATCTGATTTGATTGACCTGTTTTAGGTTTCGATTGCTAGAACTTGCAATTGCGTATACGCTTTGATTCAACAGAGGCAACGAGATGTGGAATTTAGAGAATCTGCTAATGATCAGAGACAACGGTGAGTTTTTTTGTCATTTACCTGAATGTTGATTTTTCTGTGTGCATTGTGAATTAATGGATGTTGTTAAACTAATTTAGTAGCTTCATTATGATAGTGTTCGATATTAAGCTTGAGATTGACTCTGTGATCTAGATCATGCTTTCTATATAAAGAATTTTGTTACTGTTTTTGGTTTTATGTGTGTTTAGATAAGAATATAGTTATAGTGAAATTCTTTTGGGAGCAAAGAAGAAGACAAAAATGTTTGAGATGAAATTGCTACTTTTGTTGCATCTATGAAGTTTTCTGCATGTGATGTCATTGTGTTTTACCAATTTCTTGTTTACCTCAGACTTTTATCCGACATGGCGAGACTCGAAGCAAAAGTTGAAAGGCTTGAGACTCAATTGCAAGCTAAGGAAAGGGAACTTGGTTCGGTGACAAGAACGGTAAGAGATATATATCCGAAGTTGGAATTAGGAAACCATGTATTGATGTTTAATGACATACTATTTTTGGTCAGGAAGCAAAAAATACAGCGGCTTTAAAGACGCAGAATGAGAAGCTACAGAAAGAGAGAGATGAGTTTCAACGAATGGTGATTGCCAACCAGGTTTGGATCATTGCTTAATACCAGCTAGAATTCTCAGTTTTTCGTAATGTGGATAATTTTTCCAAGAATTTGGGAATGCTAATGCAATGCCAATTGAACATTGTTATTGTTTGGTATGAAAGCAAGTCAAGACCCAACAATTACATGAAACAAAGAAAAAAGAAAAGGAGTACATAAAGTTACAGGTATGGGTTCACACTGCAAGTTCTAAGTGTTTGTAATATATGTCGAGTCTTACTTAATGAAAAATTAATCTTGTTTTAGGAGAGGTTAAACCAAGTGTTGATGGAGAAAAAGAAGGAAACGAGATCAGGCATGGAGATTATGAATCTACTCCAGGTTCTAATTGGGATTTTAAATAACTATTATCGAGTTTTCCTAGACTATCCCCTTTGGCTAATGAACAATTTCTTGTAAATATATGTACAGAAAGAAGGGAGACAGCGTGGAACATGGAGTGGGAAGAAAACTGACTCTGATTTCTACAAAAAAATTGTAACCACCATGACAATTTAGCCTCTCAGGCCTTATATTTCATTGAGTCAATGTGTTACTGATATATTTGGCGCAATATGATCTTTTCAGGTGGATGCATATGAGGCAAAAAATCAAGAGCTGATGGCAGAGAACACTGATCTGAGAGCGTTACTGCGATCCACACAGGTTTACCTTTTGTTTATTGTTCCCATCTAAAAACAACTTTGGGAGAGAATGAATATTTCTGATCTTTTTATTGAAGACTATGATACTTACCTTTTGACAGGGAGACATGCGTTCTTTCTTGAATGCTTCCGGTGGATTACCCAATCAATCTTTGGTAGCAAATGGAAGACACGGCGCAGACCCTTCTCAGTCTCCTTTGGGCGGAAAGACGGTACATAAATCTCATTATAAGCTAAATCAATTTTCAATGCATTCCCGTCGCATATAATTCACAACCAAAACACCAGTAGATATCAACAAGAATGAATATCGGTATTGACAGGATGTTTTCGACCTACCTTTTCGTATGGCTCGAGGTCAGATAGAAGATAGTTTACGCTCTAAGATGGTTTCCATCAAGGTAAGAAAAAGTCTAACCCGAGTTTAGACTTTTTAATCTGTTATAGCTTCTCATGTACTAACCTGTTCCATTTTTTTTGTCTGTTTCGATTAATGAAGGAACGAATGGGTCAGTTAGTAGATGCACAAAAAGAAGTATCCATTACTTCTGAAGCTTCAGAGAGGGAACTTGAACTTGAAGCACAACTCGTCGAGGCACGCAGCATAATTCAAGAACAGGTATTTTAAAGCATATCCTTCTTTGATTTCTCTATTCCTATGACCATCTCTAAAGCTATTACAAATTTACAAAATCTCCTGATGCAGGAATCTATAATGTCCAAACATTTACCTAAGACAGATAGGAGAAGGAACTCAGCTCCTCCACATTCTGTCAACGGACTGCGTGGCTGACTAATTAGATTGTGAATCTCAGGTTCCAAAGATCAAATCACTTCCTGTAATTTTGCTCTTGTTTAAACAAAGAAATATTTTATGAATTTATAAAAAAAAATTAAATGAATGTGGATTCGTATTTGTAACGTTGTACAGAACACTTGCAGACAACAAGTTTCAGGCTGTAGATTTTTATTATAGATGAATGAAATATGTTTTATTTCATAATATAGTTAGTAGTCAACTATGTTAGTACTAGTAAACCATGTAATAATCCAAATGACGCAAAAACAATTGTAATGCTGTTTAACTAGAATACAAGATACAAAACATTGAGAAAGCTTGGATGGCTAATTTATAATTATGTTGATGTTGATGTGAATATAATATAAATAATTTACTCTGATTTCGAATTAATAGAAAATGTAAATCGAACATAAAAGTTGAAGACTTGTAAAACAATAATAGGATATTTATATTGTTGAAAAAAGAGCGTCTAATTTGTTTCTTAATTCATATGAAACTTATCATTGAAAATAATAGAAATATATCATTTCTCCATAAATGGAAATCATACATATTCAGAAACTTAAAATTAAACTTACAAGAAATTTTGGCTACTTTGATGACAAAGTTATATACGATACGATAATACGATGGTTTGAAAAAACAACACAAGACAAAAATTGTTTGATACAATAATAATTAGATTAATAAATATATACATATATATGATTATTAATTTATGATACTAAATTTATAATTGATAGAGGCATAGTGTTAAAAGTTTTTCATCACCATATCATTGTTATGAACCTAGCATGCATACTTAGTACATCATGAACTCTTGATGCATGCATGTCATAAGCTCGCTTTAGCAACTCGAAAGCTACAAGGCATAATGCTTTCTTGAGATAAGAATTATGATTTGTTTCATAATATAGATATTTTTCTAAATAAATAAATCGAATTGTTTCATGATTTTCAAATAACTTCTTCGTCCCAAGATCAATTCAGTACCCAAATATGGAATGTGAAAGGAGGTAAGTTCTAAACTCCAACAATGACAAGATCTGAGGAAGATATCATCGACAAATTTATGTAAAAACATACTTAATCATGATATACACATTTTCATACTTGGATTATCCACACAAAAGAAAGAGTTTCGCATGAGCAACAAAATGTGTTCAGAAGGGACCACACCGATATTTCTTACAAAATTAAGGGTATATTTTACTAGTACATATTAAGTTACATTTCAGTTTCTGGTTTTTTAAAAAAATCATGAAAGTAATCAATAAATACATATGCAAACAATCTTGCATAAGAATTAACAATTGCGGTTTTTTTGTTTAAATTTTTGAATTTTTTATCATTCTTAAGAAAGAATTACAAAATTATCAAAAAAACAAATCAGAGATAAAATATTTCTCTAACTAATATGATAAATGTATATGAATTGTTTTAATGTAAATTCATATAATACAAATTTTATTGAAGATCTCGATAACAACTAAAATGGATTATTTTCTAGAGTTTTGTGGATACACCTATTTTTTATTATATACAGCGAGATCTCAAATACACTTATATAGACAAGCGAAAACAAAAAGAAAAAATCTATTCATGGCCCACACCAACCGAAAGACTAAAAATCTAAAACTTATTAAGGAAAGAAATCTCTATTGTGATATCATACTTAATTTGATTATATTTTAATTAATTATAAAAAGCATTCAACAGTATAATATTAAGAAATAAAGTTAAAATTAATAAAAAAATTAATGGCCACATTTTTGAAAATTGTTTTTGACCGCCAATTATTCAGAGACCGCGCTTGAAAACTAAAATTTCATATATTCTAGGGTTTTGGGGTGCACCTCATTTTTCCTATATAAAGAACTTTTACATACATTTTCGAAAACGCCGAAATAGAGGAGAGAGCGAGAGTTCATGCTTTACATCAACCAAAACTCGTACTCATATTAGGGAGAAATTCATTGAAGTTTTATCGATCTTTATCTTATTTCACATACGAATAGATCTTCTGCGGATTACACCACTTTTTCCGTTCAACAACTTCAAGGGGATAATTTTATTCCACTACAATCCCATAAGGTATTTTCATATCCCTTAATTTAGATTTGTTTCACTACAGAGCATCGAATTCGCATAATACTTTTGAATCTGCTGTAAATTTTCATGTAATAAATTATTTTTAAAGTGTTAGAAACATAACATAAACTTGTTAATGTTCCGGATTCGATTGCATGTGAAAAAAAACTAATTTACATAACCATTTGTGTTGTGAATCTTTGATTATTTAATTCAACGAGATTTTCATATTAAGATTTTGAAGAAAAGATAAGAATAAATCTATACATCATATTTTATCTCTTCATCTAATATATACTAACAATTTGGTCATTTGGAGTTAGGCCTAAATGCTTTATTCATGGTAGATCTATGAGAAATTCATTGCCAAAAGTTATGTTCACCAATCACCCTTAGAGTTAATCCGTAGTCTCGGCGAGATCCAAACGCTTGAGATTTTTCTCAACTTTAAACATCTAGTGTCTAAAGTTTTAATCTATAACCTAAAATCCTAGTGATTCTAAACTCTTAGGATATGAATGGTTGACATTGGGAGGAAAAAGGAGGAAAAGGAAAAGGTAAAAAAAAAAATTGTTTAATGAATTTTTTTTTCACTAATATATTAGGGGTGAAGAAAATTACTACTCTAACAAATTACTTTGAAATAGTCAACTATTAGAAGAAAAAACCTTTCACCACACACATGGTATAATTCTCCATAAGGATTTGATTTCCTTATGATTCCAATTTCCACAAGATCAAAAAAATCCTTTCTTTTCATAATTTCATGTGATATGAGCATTATGTATCAAGAATTCAGTCATATCCGGAGGTTATATGCCACTAGAACCTTTGGCTCTATGTAGCTACAATTGCTTCTCCTTGTTATGATCTTTAATTAAAAAGTTTAGTCAGATTTCTACCACACTCATATATGGTATATATTTTTTTAATCACTATCCCTTTTATTTGTGATCTTCCTCTATCCTTAACCACAAGTCTCTCTCTCTTATGTTCTACTTCTACCCTGTTACATGCATCTTCAATTTCTTATATATGCACTAATGTCTTCATCCAAATCAATGTTTCTTTACCATACTTAAAAACGTATCATAAGCTTTTCAAAGGTCCTTAGCAAAAATTTCAACACATAAATTTCATAGCATCACTCAACTCAACTACCATAAAACCAAATCCTTAGGTTATACAAATTTTGTAAAACCTAAACATTTTCATTTTTAAAGAAATTTTACATTCTTAGCAACAAAAAAAAAACTAACATAAAACAAAGCTCAATCTCTTCTTTAAGTCAAGTAAATCAAAGTTTCAAAAGTCTTTGATCGAAAAAAAGGAAAAAAAAAATCACAGCATCCATTTGTCAAATAAACCTTACAATATATTCATCAACCTAAAATGACCATAGATTTCGACAAAAACTATATCACATTCAACAAATTTTCATATCCTACTTGTTATTAGAAAACACTGTGAAACGTAATTCTTTTAAAAAAGTACTTAATTAGCTAAATTTTTAAGAACAAACTCATATAAAATGATACAAAAACAAAATAGAAATTAATATGCAAAAATACGAATGACATGCAAATTATATCATGTGGCCCTACATTGAGAAAAACTCTCTTATTTCGTCTTCTTCTTCTCCAGTCTCTCCGTTCAACAAAAATTGAATCTTTTTGACGACGAACAGAGAGAACCGTTCGATTTTTGTATCCTGTTAGAAGAATCATAATTTGGTATTCTTCTTCTTCATTTTCACGAATGATCACTCTCGTCACAATCTTATACATTTTCTCTGTTTTAGTTCATACCCACAAGTTTTCTTTTTCAAAGTCTCAGTTTTTTTCTTTAATCTCATTTTGTTTTCCTTTTTCTCTTTCATTGCAGGTTTTCAAGATTCCGATAGTATTTTTGGTTTGATTAGGCTCTCTACTAGTCTCTTTCATGGCGTCTTCTCATAAAGGTAACGTTTTTATTTTGGATTCTGCATTTCATAGTTTTAGAAAGTTTGAGACTTTTTTTGACTCGTGAAGATGAACGTAGCGTAACGATTGTTTTCATCTTGATTTTACATCCTCAACTTGTTTTTGTTTGGAAAGTTTCATGATTGTGAGTGCTAATTTTATTGGTGGGTCTTTCTAAAACACATTTTCAAGCTCATTGGTTGATGTGTTGTACCATAAAAGAGGAAACTTTCTTTGTGTCTGCGATGTTCTTGGAACTTATTGTAATGAATGTGGATTCTTCTTAAAGAACCTTTATGGATTCACTTGCTTTGTGGAAACATGTATCTTGTTCTCTTCTGGGTTTTGTGAGCTTTTGTATTGTTGTTTCGATTTCCTAGACTCGTTGATGTCCCAGGCAACATGTAGAATTCGAGTGTTTTTGTTCTGCGGTTATAGTAGAGGGTTTCTTTGTGTTACTGTACATGGTACTAAATTAGATTTTCTTGTTGCATAAATTTTGATCTGAAACCATTCTTCTAAATGTGGCAAACAAGCTCATGGAAGCAGTCTTTGACTAATTTGTGTTTCTGTCATGGAGAATTATTTTGTTAATACATTGTTATTTTAGGAGTTGTAATTGCGATTGAAATGTAAATTTACGTCTTTTTTCTTCATGCAGGAGCTGCAGGTGACTCAATGGGAAGCAGTAAAATGAGTTTTGATCAAAAGAGACAGCTTGTCTGGAAGCTGTCGAAAGAATCCGAGAGAGCCTTCAAAGAAGTCTTGAAGGACTGGAGCTGCAACGAGATTCGAGAGCTCTTACGTGCAGAATCAGGGAAATATATAAAATACACCGGTTTAACGAAAGAAGAGATCATCATAAGGCTTTTCAACATTGTATCAAAGAAAAACACTGGAGGTTATGAGGTAGAAGAAGAGAGAAATCCATCACCAAAAAGACAGAGGAAAGATCTTGATCCTTTGCACTATGTGACTCCGTTAGCTAAAGCTAAAGGTAACAAACATGTTTTGCAGTAGTCATTATCCATTTGCAGCATTCTTCTGTTTCTATATGCTAACTTGAACATAGCATTGATCAGGCAAGGGTACAATGTATTGTCAGAACTTGGCTTGCCAGGCTAAACTAAGAGAGGAAGCCACTTTTTGCCAAAGGTGTACCTGTTGTATCTGCTATAAGTATGATAACAATAAAGATCCTAGTCTCTGGTTAACCTGCAATTCAGATCCTCCATTGGACGGTGAATCTTGTGGCTTATCTTGCCACCTGGTTTGCGCTTTCAACAATGAGAATTCGGGTCTGAAAGAGGATACGCCGAGTAGTAATATTGATGGATGCTTCAGCTGTGTTTTCTGTGGCAAGGAAAACAGCAAGATAGAGTAAATTCTCAAACGATCTTTTTCCATTATAATACAATCTTTGATGTTTATTAAGTTTCTAACTTTTTTTCTTCTTCTTAGATGTTTGAAGAAGCAACTGATCATTGCAAATGAAGAAAGAAGAGTAGGTGTGTTTTGTTTCCGCATTCTCATGGCTCATAAGCTTCTCAAGGGAACAAACAAGTACACACTAGTATCTAAAGAGGTGGAGGAAGCTGTGAAGCATCTAGAAACTGAATTCGGTGTTCCTATTACTGGTCTTCCATCGGAGTTGAGTAGAGGGCTCGTTAACAGACTTTGCTGCGCGAAAAAAGTCAAGGGACATTGCTCTTCTGCTCTGAAAGAGCTTGATAGTCTTCCACTGCCTTCTACTATTCAAGGTAAGATCAATAAACACTTATGATCACAAAACACTATACTTGTGGTTTCTTCTTCCAGTGCTTGATTCGATATGAACCACAGGATCATTGAAGATCAAAATTGAGTCTGTTCTAGCAACTTCTGTAACTTTCATTATGGATGTCGAAGAATCTTTCTCATGGGGAGATACCAATCATTACCGGATGTTCCATCGAAAGGCCACAGAGAGATATTACTCGGAGCATTTGACTCGTGAGTTGTTCAGTGTAACAAGTTACCCAAGGTTTAATGTCTTGGAACTAACTCCAGCTACAGAGTATTGCTTCAAGATTGTTTCCTTTAGCGGCGTCGAAGAAGTGAGCGTAGATGAATTCAGAGTCTCTACACAAACCCTCCAAGAAGAAGAAGATGACAAAGAAGCGGCAGCAGTTTTAATGAATATGCCAAACTGCGAAAATCTTTCACTTCCACCACCGCCTTCCTTAGAAACAGATAGACAGGAGAATGGGAACAAAATGGAGAGATTTGGGCTTGAGCAATGTGTGAAGCTCATTAGGCAGCTAGAGTGCTCAGGTAAGGTCAAGAGTGATTTCAGAGTGAAGTTTCTGACTTGGTATAGCTTAAGAGCGACGTCTAAGGAGAAACATATCGTGGAGATCTGTGTTGATACTTTCAAAGACGATACAGTAGCTCTGGCTGAGAAGCTCATTGATATATTCTCTGATTGCATATCAAGGAAGCGTCCTGCGATTGGTGGTGGCAGTAGCGGTGGTGGTGACTGTGAGTCTGCTGGATTGTGTTTGATGCTGCTGAGCATTGATTATAGGAGATCGGATGATAAGCATTGATTCAAGTTTTAGGTCTTTTTTTTTTTACTCTCTTTTGGACCTTTTAGGAAGGATTCAACTTGTTTTTTCTTCTTCAGTTGGGATTTTTTTAGCATTATTGAAACCTCAGAGTTTGATGATTTGATTGTATTTTGGATTTTAATGAGTTAGTAACTTTTCTTGAAGCACAAGTTTGTATTGTAGTCTTGGAAATATCACCCGTTTTGTTTTGTTTAATACTTGATAGATTTGAAACCGAACACAAACCGAAAAACCTGTCTTTCTCTCTTTGGTTTAAAGCATATAATAAAACAAACCTGATTTTAAAAAAGTTGAGAGTTCTTCTTTGGAGCTTCTTCTACTTATTCTCCAAGTCTTTAATAAGAAAGAGACGCTTAACAACATTGTAACAAGCCTAAGCCCATTCCCGGCCCATCTAGAATTATAAATGGGCATCTACCCAAATCGAAACCCAAAACCCAAACTCACGCCTAAGCCCACTCCCGGCCCAGCCCACTAATGGTGTGGTTTACTTTTGCATGGGTGGTGGTACTCTTTCTCTTACACTTGTTATGAGTTATCTAGTAATCTACTATTGTATATACATTACTGAGATTTTTTTTTCTCATCTTCAAGTGCCGGACAAATGGTATTTTGTCAATTTTTATGTTTTTTCAAGCAATCTATTTTACTTTTTATTTAAACGAATTCCAGTTTTGAGATATGAGTACACTACATTATAATATTCATAGTGATTTTATACCGATGAATCCATGTCTCTCATAATTGAGTCATTCCATCAAAAGAATTTGGCGATAAGTTACTCTCATTTGTTGCCAATAGAGAATGGAGGAGCAATAGCCCCAAGAGTTTTTTTTATAGATTGACATGGTGTTAAACTATTAATACTATAAAATCAATAAAATGATTAGAAAAACTAGAGTTAATCTTTTAATTAGTCTATGTGCAAAAAATTCAAAAAATTATTCTTTTAGGAACAAAACGTTTATGAAGATTAGATTTTTGACGACCAAATGAACCCTAACTTAGTTAAATTTGGCTCAAACCAAAACCTCATTAAAAGGGCACTGTTTTTGTAGCGTCGCTTCTTCACCATCTCGTGAAGAATGCAAAGGCCAACTTTATTGCATGCATGCGTACTTCGGTAACTGTAAAATACTAGAAATCTCTTTTTAAGTTTTTTTCACTAAGCCAAAAGTAGCCAAACTCTTTACTATTCGGCTCTTGGGGACCATTTCCACGTCCAATTATACATCTTTATTGCTAAAACTCGAACCTCTATAAAATTTATTTGTTCGCATTAGTCAATTATTTCTCCCCATAAAGTAAATCAAACTTCTCGAGTATATAAATTTAACTGACATTACTCGTTTCAGCTTTTCACAAAATGAAAAAAATTGTTGTGCAAATTAAATAGTTTAATGTATTTGTTAGAAAAATCCATCTTAGAATGATTTCATATTAGAATCAAGTCGTTAATTCTTTTATGATTTATTAGTTACTCTACTATCAAATTGGTTGAATTCTATTTCTATATATATACCAATCTACATATAAAAAATCGATTTCTTCCTATTCATCTTTGTTACGTTTAGGACATTTATATTGTGTGGTTTAGGACTTTTATAAAAGGTCCTTAAAATTTTACAAAATGAAAAATGAACTTTTAACAAAAATTTTTTTTTTTACAAAAAGAACTAATGATTTAGAAAAACAAAGAAAATATATGTACAGTATTCAAATGATTTTAGGGACCCAGGTCTAGAACAAAAGAGCTAATAAGCCAAACGTTCTAGTCAAGTCTGAAATAATGGATCCTGATTGGCAATGACTAATGAATAATGATGTGTTACCAAATGGATCTTACTAATTTTTCATTTACATGTTGGTCAAACTATAATGGAAGATCGGTATATTGAACATTGACTATATTATTTTGATATAGCACCAAATTATATGAAAGTTTTTATCAAAGTTGTGTGGTCAATTCATCTTTGGATTGTAATGGTAAGCAACTAAGATATAACTATATATGTGACTATGTCTAAATAAGGTTTTTCAAAATCACGGGTTAATGTTGATATATGACATCAAACAAATATAATTCATCTATATATAATAAAAATAAAACCAATAAGAAATAACAAAACACAGCTTAGCTGACAATAAAATGTAAGGTTGTTGTCGCTGTCTAATATAAAGAATCGAGGTCTCTCAATGGAGAATGGTTGGGTTCTCGTGAATAAAAAGTAAAATGTCGACGTCTTGATAGCTTTGGTTATATGTACTCTTCAGTCTTCACTTTGATATTTTTTATAATATGGTCATCAACCGACGGTCTAATATTTCTTCCTTAAATATATGTATATAAATTTGTGAGAAAAAGAGTTTAATTTTGTCATAGAAGTTTTGCTGAAAAAATCATATATCAATCTACTTCAATCAAGCTTCCTTTGTAATAAAACAAATTAAAAAAAAAAACAATTCAATTGCATGTGTGATGGAAAATGTGATGTTGAATCTAAGGCAAATTGTGTAACTTCGCTACATCTCCAATTTCGATTTTCCTTTTATATAACTCTCCGCGATGATTATTTGGTTTTACTTGAGTTTCGGTTCGGATGTTTTATAGTATATGGTAGATTTGCGGAAAATTCTTTGCCAAAATGTTCATATATACTCCCGAAATTAGTAAGTGTTTTACTGAAATTTGGATTTTCGACGTTAAATTTTAAGAAAAATATTTAAATGATTGTATCATATCAAAATTCTCAAATCAATATACTAACTTTTGTATTGTACCTCTCGATAAATAACTAAGATTCGTCAAGTAAACTTAAATATTACAAACAAACTCGATCACTAATAATGTACTTCTTTCAATTTGTATAATAAAATACCAATTGGTTAACAATGTCGCTTTAAAACAAAACATTATCTCATTAGACATTAAGTAAACTGTTCCATTCACATAGATCAATCCTGTCCAAGTAAGTGCCATGCGTCGTCTTCTACATCTCTTCAATGTGAGGCCGCAATATTAATTATTTAATGATTAATATACATGTATCGTCCAACTAATATAATATCTATACAAGCCAATAAACTTTAGACACTTGAATAATGAAGTAGAGAAGACAATCAGAAGAAGATGAAACATTCTGTTGAACTGAACATGTTTTGCTTCTTCACTTGTTCTGGTAGTTAGATCAACATGCATGCCTATATTAATATATTACAAATTAAAAGTTAAGTAGTTGCCAAATGTTTAAATTGCAGTTTTATATAGCTCAATTTTCTTTCTTATAATCGTGAAAAATTAAAAGCTATCTATTGAAAAGAAAAGATTTAAGAAATATTTTGATCTTATGCTTTTATGGTATTCCAACTTTGAAGAAAATGATTTATAATCTTCAAATGAACTCAAGAGGGTTGACCTTAATTATGTTCATCTTAATTAATCTACCTATGCTTACGTCTAAGCTAGTCCTTTTTATACGAACATTTTTGTAATAATAATTATAGTTAAAAGATTCTCCATTGCAATTTAAGCAACTCCGCTTTAAATGAAAGGAGAGCATAACTTAATAACTTGAGATAAGATAGTCCAATACGCAAAAAAAAAAAAAAAAAAAAAAAAAAGATTTGTTTACATGTTAAATTATTATGTTTACATTTGATTTTTTTCTTCTTACATTAACCATCACTTTAATTTATGCAAAAAAAAAATGATTTATATATTTCTTTTGGTTAGCGTGTTTTCGTTTGCATTTACAATTTAGAAAATAATAATTGTAAAACAATATAAACATCTTTAAATATAATTAATAAAAGTCCCTAAAACTCGCAAAAAATAATGATGGTCGATGAATATGCAATTTCACAAATTTATACATACACATTGTTGGAGATACAATCCAAGTCCCACATCGGAAGTTTGATGGGACAATCAATAATATATAAAGGGTTAGGGCCAATCCACTAATTGCCAATTGGTTTTTAGTTGGAAGCCCAGAATTAGCCCAAATTTAACATGATATCAGAGCCCAATATTCAAATTCTGGTGGACCTAGAAAAGTGGATACGGACATACCTCAAACCCGAGTAATGGGGGCCCGAGAAAGGGGCTTATTATCGATCCGAGTGAGGGATCGAGGAGGTGTGTTAAGATCCATGTGGTCCTTGGATTGAAGGGGAGATTGTTGGAGATACAATCCAAGTCCCACATCGGAAGTTTGATGGGACAATCAATAATATATAAAGGGTTAGGGCCAATCCACTAATTGCCAATTGGTTTTTAGTTGGAAGCCCAGAATTAGCCCAAATTTAACACACATTATTACATACTTGCATAGTGATTCTCTAGGATTAGCGCAAATAAAACTGACGAGAGTTAGGCCGAAGAGAATGCAAATTTGGACAACCTAACAATAGTTTCACTTAAATAAACAAAATATGTTAGGCTTGACTTTTAAAACTATAAAAGAGAGTTTTAGAAGAATCCATTTTATCTCTGTCAAAGTGGCATGCATTGTTTTTACTTCATTAATTACTCGACAATATTCTGACCACAATTATTTGACGAATCTAAATACACCAATAAGACTCACCTAAATATCCAAACGCCATTAACTCAATCGATTTAACAATTCGTATGTTTCTATTGCTGGCTTTGTAGCCAATTTCAAATACGATGTTACGTTTCAAAAATCAATTTGGCATGGTAGTATATAACTCATTTTGTCCCTATCCAAAACATATATAATGGCTGGAGTAAATACACATTATATCCATTTTTATTTATGTATTTCGCTATATTAATATATTATCCATCTTCGAAAAATTGGAATATCCGTAAGTTCACAGAGCAAACTATAAAACTATACTATCTAGTATTTACATAACAAAATGATATTCGCCTACCACCAAAGTGGATTCGAGATACAAGATAAAGAATTATTGATTAAATTCAAATAGAGCGGATCACATATATGAAAATGTGATATTTGCTCCGCGTATTACCGTAAAATTTTCTTTCCATGTTATTTTTTTTTTTTTTTTTTTTTTTGTAAACGTCCATGTTATTTCTCAACTCCCAAATTCACAACAACAAAAAAGTATGAAAAAAAAAGAGAGAAAAAAAGAAAGTAAAATTGAGAACATGGAT